GATGAAAATTGTGACACTTGTCTCCTTGCCAAGTCCTATAGAATCTCATTTAAATCAATTCCAAGTCGTACTTCTCAACCACTTGAAGTAGTATATATGGATATCTGTGGTCCTATGCCGAAAACTTCAAAAGGAGGAAATAGGTATTTTTTGGCAATTATAGATGATTACAGTCGTGCAGTTGTTTTATAACTTATGAGGAATAAAAGTGAAGCATTTAGGAAATTTAGGAATTATCATGCAAAGATGGAGCGCTTGACTGAAAGAAAATTAAAGTGTATCAGGAGTGACAATGGCGGTGAGTTCTGCAATAACCAATTTGAACAATACTTAGAAGAGCATGGAATTTGTGCTGAGCGAACTAATTACTATACGCCAGAAGAAAATGGTGTATGTGAAAGATTTAATAGAACTGCTCTGGATGCCATTAAATCTAAGTTGAAGGATAGTAACATGAATGAAGAATGGTGGGATGAAGCAGTATGTTGTTTTGTTCATACGTGGAACAGAATTTCAAGAAAGGGAAAGAAAACGCCATATGAGATGTTGTATGGAAGGAAACCACCAGTAATGTATTTTAAAGTATTTGGATGTAAGGCTTATGTTGGTGTACCTAAACAGAAGAGAAATAAATTCCAAATGCGTGCCAAAGAAGGTATAATGCTAGGTTATGCTTTTTCAACCAAGGGCTACCGTATCTACTTACCTGAAGATCGTAAAGTTATAGAAACAAAAAATGTTAAATTCAATTAAAATGAATTTGCAGTGGAAGTCATCCTGGACCCAAGTAGAAAACCGCCAAGAAGAAAAAAATGAAATGAAAAAGAAGAATCAAGTGATGAAGATATTATTCATAGGCCAGAATTTGACTCCAGTTGTAGTCATGAAAGCATCAAGAAGGTATCAGATTTAAACTGGTTAAGAAAAGCAACTAAACGTTCAGATGGATCTAGAAATGATATTTATTATTTCATAGAAGGGTCTAAAAACCGATTTAGTCCGATTAAACCGATTTCATCAAATGACATCGAGAAATATTGTGATAGTCATGGAATTGAATTTGAAAAAGATATATTTGATTTTAGTGGTAGGAATGAATATTCTGGTAAAGTAACCAGAAATGAAGTCAGCATAGTACAAGAAGATGAAGCAAATTTAATTGAGTATAATATTCCAAAAAGCTACAAAGAAGCAGTTGAGTCAAGAAATTGTGAAAAATGGAAGAATGCAATGGAAGAGGAAATTGAAATGATGAAGAAAAGAGAAGTGTGGTCATTGGTAGAGAAACCGAAAGATACTAAAGTGATAGGTAGTAGATGGGTGTACAACCTAAAAACCGATGAATCGAATAAAATTGTGAGACATAAAGCCAGACTTGTTGCACAAGGATTTAAGCAACAACAGGGTATTGACTATTACGAAGTGTATAGTCCTGTGGTTAATTTTTCTCTCATAAGACTATGTTTTGCTATTTTTGTAGGTTTGATGAACTGGGTTCACTGTCAAGTCGATGTAAAAAGTGCATATTTATATGCAGACTTAACAGAAGAAATTTATATGGCACAACCTGAAGGTTTTGTAGTGGATCCATCAAAAGTGTGTAGATTAAAAAAGGCAATATATGGATTACATCAATCAGGACGTGAGTGGTACACTGAAGTAACTAGTGTGTTATATGAATTAAAGCTTGAAAAATTAGATTGGTGCAATGGAATATTCACAGGAGATAATGTGTTGCTATTGTTATATGTAGATGATATTGTGATAATGGGAAAAAGTCAAAAGCACATAGATCTAATTTTAAAAGAGTTGAATCAAAATTTTGAATTAAAGGTTTTGGGAGAAACAAGGAAACTTTTAGGTATAGAATTTGAGAAAATTAATGGTCATTTAGTAATCCACCAGAAAGAATATATAGAGAATACAGTGAAGCATTTTAGCAAGTGGTACAACATACCCATAGTTTCATTGCCAATAGCTAAAGGATTAAATTTGTCAATGCAGGATTGCCCACAAACAGAAATGGAGAAAGCAGAAATGGAAAACATTCCATACCGAAGTGTTCTTGGATGTGTGTCCTTTATAGCAAGTAGGACAAGACCTGAAATATCTTATGCTGTTAATATTTTATCGCAGTATCAAGAAAATCCTGGTATCAAACATTGGCAAGCTCTACTGAAATTATTAGGGTATCTGCAATATACAATGGAAAATATGCTTGATTTGTCGAAAATCTTAGATTTGTCAATAAAGTGCTACACTGATGCAGACCATGCATCAAACAGAGATGACAGAGTGTCAATAGGAGGAACTATTGTATATGTAGGTGATATCCCTATCTTGTGGAAAACCTTTAAACAGAAAAGCGTTTCAATTTCTACCATGGAGGCTAAGTATATCTCTTTATCGGAGTCAGCCAAGGAGTTAGTGTGGTTAAAAAATGTGCTAACTGATAAGAAACTCAAATTGGACGTACCAAGTTGTGAATTGTTTTGTGATAACAGGGCTGCTATTGATTTTTCTAAATCTGAGGTTGAGAACTCTCGCAGCAAACACATTGATGTTCGTTACCATTTTGTGAGACAATATGTGAATGACAAATTCTTTGAATTAAGATATGTTAGAACTTTGAACAATACAGCAGACTTATTAACAAAGCCTGCGGTTAAAGAACGAATGAGATCCTTTTGTAATAAAATATATTTAAGGACTTAACTCAAGGTTATAAATAAGTGTTTAACTTTTTAGCACAGCAAAAGGAAAAGGGGGACGAATGTTGGGAAAATGTAAACAAATAGAGATGTAAAAGTATTTTCCTCTTGGCTGTGTTACTTCCTGTTATCTCAGCTAGAAGGAAGTGGGTGTTTCTGTTTTTAGTCAGTTATATCTTTGCTTTGGATAGAAGATGTTTCCTCTCTTATGTTATGTTTAGAGAGAGCTATGTGATGTTAAAGAGTTATGTTTAGTTTAATTGAATGTAGTTTTTCTTACTTTATATTTAAAAATTTATATTCAATAAATATAGTTGTACAGTTTTCCATGAAGTGAATTCTTGAGTAGTAATAGATGTCTTCAATATCTTATACTTAGTAAGCTGGCCCCTATTTGTCAACAATCTTACAAGAGTCTAGCGCCTCACTTCTAAAATGACCCTCTAATCTAGAAATACAACAACATACTGTGCATGGTGGAATTGATGTTTTCTCTGTCTGGGAGTACTACAGCAGTTGAAAGGGCCTTTTCAGCAATGAACTTACGGAAAAAAACACATTACGTACTGGTCTTAAACAAGAAGCGTTAAACGCAATTATAAACATCTACCTGAATGGAAAGCCCCTTTCAGATTTCTGTGCAGAAACCTCTGGGAATCATTGTCTTGTTTGTTTAACTGGCAAACGTCATATTCGATTCATTTAAAAAACGCAGTACACTCGGATAAATTGACATTCCAGATAACTTAGACCTTCATCACTTAAATTATTTCATAAAAGAAATACTAGGTTACTATTAGTAGCCTAGTATTTCTTTTATTGCTGCATAATGTAATCCTAATATTTGTAATCCTAGTAACTACTAATTTATTGTGCAATTTATATAAATGCTTGAAATGAATAAGAGAAAATTATATTTGTATTTATTTAGAAGCTACGGGTTAGTTTCAAGGGAGGACGGATAAAATTTCTGAGTTTTTTCGAGCCCTGGTACAAAGTTCCATATCTAGGCATCTGTTTACTGAAAGGGTCCCTTTTACGGACACTTTTTAACAATCAAAATAAACAAAATTCTTTTCTCTTTTAATTTTTTTTCTACTTTTGAGTTCTGTTAGAAAAAAAAGTATGCGTGGAAATCCTCTGTTTTTGATTTTTTCCTGATTTTCGATTTTAGTTCAATTTTAATCTGATTTCCACTATAATATGAAAAAAAAAATTGGATATACCAGAAATGAAATTTGGCATTTCACTACAGCACGAAAAAAGTAAGTTTTTTCTTACGTCTTGCATAAAAGTATTATTGCCGCTAAGAATCACACACTCAATTTCAGAATTGGCAAAAATTTTACAAATTTAAACTTTTGCGGATTTGAGATGAAATCATCTCTAAAGCGAGTCATTAAGTGATTATTCAAAAGCGCAATTCAGAATTTTGCAGATTATAATAATATAACATTAAAAATTAAATCGAAATTTTAAAAAATATGTTAAAATCCTAATCTGTTGTAATGTGATAAAAAAAAGCCACATAAACAAAATTGAATACGTCAAAAAGTAATTCTATAAAAGTGCAGTTTGAAATTTCTTGTGTATGATAATGTGGCATTAAAAACTATGAAAATCCGTAGCAATGACTGACAAAAATGCGATCATTAGTCCACTTGGGATTGCGGGTGAATTGTCAATAATTGAGTGGAAAATGCGCAATTCGAAGTTTACCGAATTAAATAATATCATATTAAAACATTGATATTTTAAATACCAAGTGAAAATCCGTTTAATTACTACCGGAAAAACGATCATCAAAACCACGCAGATTTACTGCAGAATCATTGCTATTCGAGAATTGATTACTAAATTAAATAAGTTATTCAGAAGTTGTGACATGTTACATTAGCATATAGAATATAGAGATTTTAGAAACCATGTCAAAAGCTGCAAAAATAGCGCAACCACGTAAACCCCAAGGATTTATTCCTTGTTGATTGAAATTGACATTAATTTTCATCTATTTGTTATTTTTAATTGAAGCAGAATGTTTTGATGTTCGTTTACCTTAAAAACCTATTATCCGTAAAAAATCTCTTTTTTGGACTTGCAGAAGTCCCGACTATCTCGGATATGGAGCTTCCCAGTGTAGTTATTTCATTTTACATTAGTAATATTTGTTTCTTGTATTTTTTTCTTAGAACTTGTTTTTTTTTTCCATTGTATTACAGTTTTTTTTATGATCTTCTTTAACTAACTGTGATGAAATATTTGTTACTTTTTTTATAATATGTTATGAAGAAACACAGTCGACCACTTCCAGTCACACTTGGTCCAGAAACTACAGCTTTGAATATTGACATACCAACATTGATCAGTTCAGGATCTCAAAGTCCAAAAACTCAAGTAATATTTTTTCCATCTGCAAGTCATTTAATATTCATATGTTTATAATTAATTTTAATATCGTGTATATTTTTATATCCTAGTTCTATCACTGAAGTCATTAATGAACTACTTTAAAGAAATTGTGTTATTCACTTATATCAGTAAACTATAGCTGCTAATTCTGATGTATTTTGTCAATTTTTCCAATTCCATGAAAAATTCAAATTTATATAGTTAAGAAAATTCTCTGATATTGAGAAAGTTTTTTTTAAAAAAAAATCTTCATAATATTTTTATTTATCTTATTGTTTACTAGAATTTAAACTTGTATTTATTACTTGACTTTACACACTACATGTAGAGTAGTATTTAAAATATCAATAACACTGTTTATAGCAATACATATAGGTAATTTTTTAGCTTGTAATTTTTGACCTAAGGGTCTTATTCAGGAAGTCAAAAAGTGACAGTATCCAAAAACTTCCCCATGTGCAGCTTTCAACCTTTAAATATAAGCATCTTTTTTTGTACATTTGATTGGAAAATTTAGTCATTTCTTAGCAAAAATCCCTTAGATTTAAAAAAAATGTTTTTTTGCATATTTTTATGTTTTTTAAATATTTTATTTTTGATTATATGAGTATATTTAAAATTAGGAATTGTCTTCTAAAAATTTTGTAGTTTTAAAATATGATAGTTAGCTGCTGTTTGAATTTTAACTTTATAAATCTTCAACTTGAAATATCTTAAATATTACTTTGCATTTTTTTAAAATTCCAACTAAGACATTTTTCAAAGAAAAAAAATATATTTCTCATTTATTTAATTAATTTGATTTTTAGCAAAATCTGTGTTTTATTAAAAGTTTTACTCATTTTTATGTTACCTGCCCTATTTTTTCTTTGAATAATTTAGTGGAAACACATATGAGATTTTTTCTTTACTTGGTCAGGAGACAAATGTGCCATAATAAATAATTTTTCTTTTTTGAAAGATTGGAATTTGTTGCCAATTTATGGGTGAAGTTTTGCAGTTTTTGGTTAATCAAAATCATATTTTATTAATAATAAAAATATGAAAAAATATGTAATCTTTAGAGCAATCTATTTTGTTTGAAAGATGTGATTTCAGATATTGTTTTTGCTATAATCAATTTGTAACTTTTTTTTCTTCAAATGTCATATAACCAGTAGCTCCCAGAAATATCTTTTAATTAAACGTAAAATGTTTGGTTTAGAAATTTTGTGACTTCTAGTCTCAGTTTTTATTTTATTTTCTTATTCTTTTTTTTTTCAAATAAGTTTTTTCTTTTGCAATCATGGGCACATTTTATTGATATTACTTATTAGTTAACTTCTTGCATAGACTGTTTGCTTTGCAACTCCCTAAAATACATGAACAGAATGATTATAAAAACATTTGTTCTGATAACATTATTATTTATGATCTAAAATGAAGATTAACTTTTAAGCATGATTTTTGACAATTTTTTTTCTATTCTGATTGGTGAATTTTAATTAGTTACAGTAGTTTTATTATTAATTTATTTTAATTAAATTTGTTATTTATTTATTCTTTCAATTATCTGTTCTTTTAAATTATTGAAAGTATTATTTTTGTCTGATTGTCAAAAAGTTTCAAATTATAAACTTAAAATTAGGATAATTGAAGAAAAATTTCAAAAATGGTGAGACTTATCTTACATTATCTTATTGTGAACTCTGATAATTTAAAAAATAACTTTTTTTCATTCTTCACTTTCATTAACGTCTTGTTAAATAAATCACTATAAATAAAATTTTTTAAATTCATTTATGAATTAAAATTATTGCCATTTGAGTTCCCTTAAATAGACCTACTAAATATATATTTTTAGTAAATTTAAAGAAAGATACCAATTTTCTGGGTGTTTCTTTGATATTTACTTTAAATGGTAGCATGAGTTACTTTGCTTTTTCATGTAAGTGATACTTTTTATTCTAGGGAAGTCCTAAGCCAAATCGATATGTTATGCACACATCTAGTCAAGTAGATATCAAAATGGCTGTTGAAAGTAATGTGAAGAAAGAAGAAGATTCTTCAATCTCAAATCCTCCAGAGACTGAACTTATTGCAGCTCCTGTAACCTTGTCTTCTTGTGTTCAAGATATTAGCAATTCTCGGCCTTCTACGTCAACCTATTCTTTTGCAACAGCGAAAAATGCCATTGGTAATATTACAGCCACTCAAATAGTTAGTGTTACTCCCATCCAAATTAAATCAACTGATCAAATCAAACCAAATATTTCTACGCAAGTACATGATGTTTTAAATGTAGATATGAAGCCATCCTCTCCGTCTTTTGTTGGACAACCGCCAGTTTTACAGCCTGTTATAAGTCATCAAATTAGTGATAAAACAAATCCTGTGATACCAACATCCACAACACCAACTTTAATCACTACCCCTATAATAACGAAAGCCAAAGCAAACTGTCTACAAGCAAATGCTTTAGCTGGATTTCAAACAATAGTTATTAAACAAGAGCCTGGTCTAAGGCCTTGTGGTACCATTCCTTTGCTATCTATTGAAGAAAATATGCCTTCCTCAAATTCATCAGGACCTGTTGTTGCTCGACTTGTCCATGGTTCTCAGTACTTATCATTTAGTAATATTTTAGCAAGTTCAAATGCATGCTCATCTAATAAACCTTTGGCAGGAACTGTCCAAAATTTTAGAGTTCATGGTGGTAACATTTGCCAACAGGTGCTTTCGACATCTACAATTAAAGTAATGCATTCAGCTCCAGTTTCAGCAATTGCAGACACAAGGTAATACTTTCAATTTGTTCTTTAGGGGCCATTCCAATATATTTTGTAAACATATTTTTAGAACTTTTTAGCGTCTTCTTTCCCTTTGTCAGCAAAAATAAGTAAATCACATAACTCTACTCATGCTTCAGTGGCAAACCAGTTCTATGGTCTGTTCAAAATAATTTATTTTTGCAGTTGCATTTTCAGTAAAAATTATTGTCCTGTTTTGCATTCAATATGTCTGCATTTTGTTAAAAATTATTTAAAAAAATGAAAAATAGTTGTCAACTGCTGTCAAACAAATTATAAGTTTATAAGCATTTTTATGCATTTATTAACTCATTCACTGATTCGACTATTAATAAATGCAACAATAAAATCCCCTTCAATGACTCACCCATATACAAATTCACAGCTATTTATTGCTGAATTGTTGTTAATACAGCTATTCATTGATTGGTTTCCTTACATACCTCATTCTTACTTTATGCACACACCAGGGCTTGAAAAACCACCCATTGTCGGCAGTCAAAAATTCCCATCCGACAACGAATTTCTTGAATCCGACATCAGCTTAGACGGCCATTTTCCTGTTAATGTTCGTGATACAGTTTCAATTTTTGTTATCTTACAATCTTTTTTGAAGGAGTAGATAAAGAAAATTTTTCTCAAGAATTAGTGTCATTAAAGTTTAAGATACATAACATTGTTAAACACCAGAGAAATTCAGCCCTCCGAGCCCAAGTTATTTATAAAGACCTAATGCAGCAAAGTGATCCACAATACAGCAACATACTGTGCATGGTGGAATTGATGTTTTCTCTGTCTGGGAGTACTGCAGCGGTTGAAAGGGGCTTTTCAGCAATGAACTTACAAAAAAAAAAAACACATTACGTACTGGTCTTAAAAAAGAAGCGTTAAACGCAATTATGAACATCTACCTAAATGGAAAACCTCTGTAAATCATTGACTTGATTGTGGATCTGGCAAATGTCATATTTGATTCATTTGAAAAATGCAATACCCTCGGATAAATTGACATTCCAGATAACTTGACCTTTGTCATTTAAATTGTTTCATAAAAGAAGGAAATTATTTCATGAAAGAAATACTAGGTTACTATTAGTAACATAGTATTTCTTTTACTACTGTATAAAGTAATCCTAGTAACTACTTATTCATTGTGCAATTTATATAAATGTTTGTAATAAATGAGAGAAAGTTATATTTTTATTTATTTAGAAGCTATGGGTTAGTTTCAAAGGAGGACGGGTTCATTGTTGGACAAGCCGTCCTCGGGGACGGGTAAAATTTCTGAGTTTTTTCGGGCCCTGGCATACGCTATTCATTTTCACAGTTCTCATTATGAAGCAAACTTGTAATAATATTTTTATGAAGAATCTATCCGAAAACTAACCATTTAAATTAAATTGAAAGTGACCTCATAAAAAATGTATTAATGAAAGAACAGACAGTCATTATTGTAATAGAAAAATATTAAATGATTACACTGGAGGAAATTTTTTTTTCCTGTTGCATAAGATTTTTTAAACGAATCTTGAATATTTTCACGTCACTGATTTCAAATCTACAATCTTATTCTCTCTCCAAGCTACAGTTTTTTTCAAATGACATTTTTAGTCTAGTTTTTGTCAAAATATGCAAGTTTAAAAATGTTATACATAGCAGAGGGTCGCATAAATGTTGCAACAAACTTCTACTGGAGTTAGAGCACATCATTAGGATTAAAATTGCATAGGAATCCATGCTCAGAAATGACTTCATACAAAAGGGTCCGGAAATAACTTCCGTGAAAGGGGTAGCCTACCCCTTTCATGGGTGAAGGCCCTGCACCCTTGTTTTTTGCTTCAACATTTTCTTTTCTTATAATAATCTAATTTTCAGAATTTTAGGATTAAATGCAACTAAAACATGTAATTTTGCATGAAGCTTTTCTACTTTTTCTTTCTCAAGATGTAACTTTTATTTTAAATTTGAAATTTTTCCAAGTGTAATTTTTTAATTTAATTAAATTTGAAAGTAAGTGGATTTTGTGTTTTATGTAAGCTTTGGTTATAAGCCCTTCCCCCTTGTCATCAGCAGAAGTAAGCAAATCTTAAACCTATTACCCCCTTTAAATGCTTTCATAATATTCGAATGACCCCTAATTCATGGGAGCTTATTAATGCCATTTTTCAATAATATTGTCAACTCTTTATTTTAGGCCCAAAAAAAGTCATAAAAATATTTGAATTATGCAAAATTCAAATTATAGAACTTGATTTTTTTATTTGTTTAAAACTTAAGTTGGAAAAAATTATGTACTGCACCCTATTCTATTGAAAAGGTAAAACAGTGGTTCAAAATTTAAAAGTAATAAAACTATTTTAACATGTTTATAATCACCCAAATATTTTAATAGCTTCTAATGTATAAACACAGATACAAAATCTTTGGTTTTAAGATTTGAATTTGGTTTTAAGATTTGATAAAATATTTTTTAAGTGTAAATTTGTAACTCTTCTAAAGTAAAATTGGCAATCCTGCTTCATTCTTTTTTAGTTTCGGTGCATACCTCTATTCTATATTGTAAGCAAGTTATGATGTTGGGTGATGCAAGCTAAAAAAATTTTATCTCATGACTACACTAAATTTACTATTGTTTCAAGGAATTAAACTATTATACTCGCAGCAAAATTAACTTCATAGAATTACCAAAGCTATGACAACCTGTTAACATTTTCTAACGGTTTTGCCAAATAACACTTGAAACAGTGAATTTGAAAACTTTTTAAATAATTCACATTGGATGTACTTAATGAAAGGAAAACTACTATGCAATTGAAAGAGCATCATAATTGCTTCACAATGGATTTCAAGAAATTTAATTTTATTTATAAATTTTTTTTTTGAAATATGTATCTTAGCGAACAAAGATGCTAAATGTATAAAAAAATCTCAATTTTTCGTTTCCATGTCAGAATACTAAATAATGTTAAATATTAAACAATACTCACTATTTGTATTTATTTCACTTTACCAGAAGCTGTACTTTTTAAATATTCCAAATACATGAGGAGTAAATTTACAAGTTGCTTGAAAACCTAAGCTGCAATTACTAACCATGGCATCACCTTCATTATGAAAAAAATAAAAATGTAGCAATTTTTTTAAAATCTTATTTCTGAAAATTACTAAAGCTGAAATGGACAAAAAAAAGCTTTTGATAAAGTTTTATACCATACAGAAATTCTACAAAAAATTTATACTTAATCACTTAATTGCTGTGCCAATTCATGTAATAATAATAATAAAAATCATTATTGTTTTATCATATGCTGCATTGTATATGTAAAGAAAAACTTAAAAATTGTTAAATTTTAATTCTTTCTTGTCTATGTCATATAATGTAGATTTATTATTTCCTCCTGCATTTTATTGTAACCATGATTATTTTTGTTTTGTGAAAAAGATTTACAAATTCCTATACGTTGTGATGTAAACTTTACTGAAATCCTTAAAACATATGAAGAAGCAGTTAACTCCCATTAAAGAATAGAAAGATGAAATAAAGGGAACAACTGAAATTATTACTGAAAAATAATACTTGACAGTTAGTGAAATGTCAAGTATTATTTTTGAAATGTCAAGTTTTCTTGTTAGTGAAATGTCAAGAAAAGAAAAATATAATCAGTTCAAAATGTATATTAAACAATAAGTGCTGTATTAAAATATAATATTATATTAAAATTAAGTCGATTTAATTGTAGCCAAATAAAATGAGGGAGAAGTCTATCACATTGGTTATATAATTCTTCGGTTACAAATTGGAATTTGCTACAAAAGTGCTAGCATATGATCATTAAAATGTTTACCTTTTCAGGATTGCATTTTAGATTATAAATTTTATACTTTTGTGTTTGCCTCAGTAGTTCATTAATTCTAGCCAAAATTATTATGGAATTTTTTTTCTTCTGTCTCGTGTTCTTGAAGTTTAAAGTTGCTTTTTGCTCTAACAAATCTGCACAAAAAAAAGCTATGAAGGGTGCAGGTAAAAACGGAATAAATGTTTCAATAACAAGATTTTGCCTAAGTAATAAAATTTTAATTTTAGATTAACGGAATCCCGAGAAATTTTTTTTGAAATACAGGTTATTGATTAGTGGAAGTTCGCAAACAACGGTGTTGAAATTTGCAGAATTCTACGAATTAGTGCGAAAATCACATCCCCTGTTTAAGATAAAGCTTAAAGGCGATTTTTAATTAGAGGCAAATGCATTTACCTTTCAATTCTTTTTTTTTTTTTTTTATGATTGTAAGCACTTTTTATGGTGGTGAATTTTTAAAGACCAAGTAGTACAATCCCTTACATCCGGAAATCAAACTTTTGAAGGAGTCATCCAATTTAGATACTTGAGGCCAGTTTAAACACTTTTTTTTTTAAATTTTCAGATAATTTCTTTTTTCAGCAATCACATGTCTGCTTCAAGTAATAAAGATTATTTTGATCCCCCTTTTACATTTCCTTTCCTCTATGAAGATTGACTGTAGTTTGAAAACGTTACAAGGAAAGTTTACAAGGATTCTAAAAATATTTAAAGTGCTTTGGGGGTAATATAATGATAAGCCACACTTTTTTTCCGAAACTTACATTTTGACATCAAAGTGGAGTATTCCTTAGTATTATTTTCATGTGGCTATTTTACAAGTGTGTGAAATTTCTACTAGATAACAGCACAATACTCTAAACATTTTATTTCCTCTATGAATATCTTGTTTTTCTTCAAGAATGCTTATCACTTTATTGTGTACGCCTTTCCTAAATTAGTTGTTGTCTGAAATGCAGTTGTTTTTTGTTTCATGAGCAAAACATTTATTTTGCTTTTGGGCAGTATTGGGTAAACTGTATGACTTAATTTTTGCTTTTTTATTTGATTGCAGGTTTCCTGTAATCCAACTAAAAAATCAAGTTAATGCAAAGGAAGCTGCTCCAACTTCATTAAATGTGTGTGGACGAATTTATCAAATGACAAATATCAGGAATGCTGTTATTTCTAAACCAAATGATACCAAAATACCTGCTAATAAAGATCATTCTGAAATTGAAGACTTAAAAGAAAGTATATCTGCCACTGTACCTTCTGCTCCTCTCTCTGTACCTAACAGAAAAACTCAACCAGTGATTAAAGGTAAACTTTATCTCAATTTTTTATTATTTTTTTTTAGTTTTCTATAACTTAGGTTTGGAACGCAGATTTATTTTCTATTTCATTTCATATTCTAAATGCATCTTTAAAACAACAAAAAGTAATTATTTAATCATCAGATATTTTCTTTTGATCTGTCAATAATCGTAATTTTGAATTCTATTTGGCTATTTCTAATCTATTAATCTTGTCTAGTAAATTTTCAGTGGTGCTATATATTTTTACAAAATAATTTCCAATAGCAAATTGCAGAGTAAAATTTTCTAATATCATTAGAAAGATTTTTTTTTTTCCTTTCCAGTTTTTCTTTCTAAACACTTTTGACAATAGAACACAAAAACAAGAGATAATGCATTTGTTTCTCGAACAATTTATTAAATAAATAAATAAATGTCAAGAAAAGTCATGATTGTAAGTTAAAATTAAATTTAAGAATCCACTAAAAATGTTTTACTTATATATTGTTGTTTTTTCATTAAAGTATTTTTCCAATTAGTGGATTTTCACAAAAATGGAAAATATATAATAAAACATCTTCATTGTCTGGTTATAGTTTGTTATGATTTTGTAATTTTTTTTAAATTCATAATAAATATCTATTGATTTAAATCTGAAATTAAGCTACTAGGGTGGGCTGAAAACCCAGGTTTCTATTTAAAAAACGCTATACTGTGGGAAAAATGCCTTTTGTAAAAAAAAGAAATATCATTACAAAATTTTTATATTATAATTTATTTACTCAAAATTTAGAACAGTTTAAAATTTAAAAAAAAAAAAAATACCTCTTCACATTGTATAATTGATATGCTATAGTGTCTAATGCTTAAAAACATAAATTTTGAAAAGTAAAAGAAGTTAAAATATGTATATAAATTCAATGCATATTGATCATGTGATGCGTTTAAAAAACATAAATTATCTCAAATCTTGTGAAATCTCTCTCTATTTACTGTCATGGCTGTTGTCAAGAGTTGACACATAATTCACTATACCTTTTATAATTTTTTAATGTTTACATTTTATTTAGATTTTAGGATTTCAGCTCATTAGTGTTAACATCTAAATAAATTTTCTTTAATTTCAAAATGTTTTTCGATTGGTAGTCTTTTTAATTTACCAGGGTTGGCAAGTATATGAAAATTTACAGTTTTATCTGGCTATTTTTATTTACAGTTTTATTTTACTATGATTTTTTCCACCATGTTAAAAACCACTTTTTTATATAGTTTTTGCCAATTATCAAAGACCTAAAATGTTGGTGTAGAAATAAATTATTAGCTATTATAAGTTGAAGTAATTATTATAAATAAAAGTACATATGAAATTACAAATGATCATTGAATTATGTTCTTTAATAATTTTGACATTTAACTACTTTTTTGTTTGGACAATTACTATTATAACATTAAAAAAATGTTACAATAATTACAATTACTGTACAAAATCCAAAATTTTAGCAGAGAAAATCTTAATTTATTGTAAATTCACTAAAAATAAAAATATGAAAAATTGCAATTTATCTAAGTTGTTTATTTCTTCAATTGTTGAAAATAAAAAATACAAAAACAATTTTCTTTTAGAAAAAGACATCTAGTTCATTATGTGTAAAATCAATTTTCATTTTTCTGTTATTCTAACTTTTGCTTTTTCCAGAGCATGCCATTACATAAGGTTAGTTTTAAAGTCCTCTGTTCTCTGAGTTTATTTTTCAGTTTTGATTCTAAAATATTCTTTCGATTTAAGCTGACCTGCATGGAATAAAGTGTGGACGTACCAAAACTATTATAACATACCAAAATTAGCATGCATTAGAAAATTTATTTTAATAATTGTACTGAATGTTTATAACTTAATTAAGGAAGTTAATTTTGATTGATTGAAAAAACTAATTATTAATTTAAAGAAACATTTATATTTCTTCGGGAATTATAATTTGTAAATAAAAAAACAAATAGATTAATTCCTGGCATAAAAATAATTTAAACATCATAGCATCTGATGCTACCTGTGTAGGACCACTAAAGCTACAAATAATTTATTTACATCATTAAGAAATTTTGCTTGCAAATAAAAGAACAGAAAAACGTATTATTTAAAAACTTTTGCACCCTACTGTACGTTGATTTTTCTAAGTAATGTTCATTCATATGTATTCGTATAAATATATACCTTTGGGTTTCACTGTTGGTGCAAGTAGATTTTGACAGTCAAAGTCTAACGAAATAGCCTTTTTTTTTAAAAAAGATTTTTAAATGAAGTTTGATGCTAAGGTTAACTGAAAGTATTTGTCTTAATATTTCGTGTAAATGTAATAAAACATAAAATAATGATTAGTGCCATGATTCACTCGTTTTTACAAAAAATATTGCCACTTGTAAATCAATGTATTTTTTCTTAAATTTCTGGAGGATCTTCCCTGATCCCAAAACTTTGAGGAAATTTTTTTTTTTTTTGAAAAATAAAAAAAGTGCCTAATAGTTTTACATCAAGAACATATCCCAGAAATTTCAAGAAAATAAAAAATGTCAAGTATCTACGCTTCCCTTATTTGCTCGATTTTTCTTAAAAAAACTGCAACTTAAACATTGTTTATAATTGAAATTTAGCATTTTTACAAGGAATTACAAAATTTTATACTAAAATATATTTGCACAGTATACAAATATTTTTAATATTTTAGGATTTTGCTAATAATCCAAATATATTACAGAAACTTTAGCAATAACAGTTAAAAAGAACAAAATGAAGAATTCTAACTAATGAACTCTTATTTTGGGTTGCCAGTACTTTAGATATTTTAGAAGTAAGACTATGCTAATTAATATTTCATATTTCCTGCAATTTAAAATATTATTAGCATCTCACCTTTATGATGTATAAATACTGACGAGTACTTATAAAGTCAGAAACGTTTTTAAGTTGCATTTATATTAAACAAACCAGCCAGATCACCACGTTTACTATCCTTGATGTAACATTCCTTAGACCAGAAAACATGACATAGTCTGGTTGTAATAAAAATAAGTTAAAATCAACTACAGTTTTAAAAAGCATGTGATGTGTATTTCTTATTCTTTTTATCTGTGTATGTTTTGCACCACTTATATAGCAATTTAAAATTGTATGCTGGCGCTCAGTAAATTAACTATAGTTCATATTTCATTTATTTCTTTTTTAGTTTCTCCGAAGTAAAAGAAGTCATCTGGTATAGTTCTTTTATATAAGAATAGTCTTAAGTTTATAATAATTCTAAGTTAGTTATTTAAAATAAGCTCTGACATGAAAACTCTTTCTGTGTATAATTACAGTAGACTTTAAATTAATTGTGATTGAATTATCCTGGTTGTGAATTATATGAATGATCATTATATGGGAACAAAGAAAAAGTTTGCAAGGATTGTTAAAGCAAACATGGATAAAAATGATGTTGAGAAGTTTTCACAGTAAAATTTGTTAAAAATTAAATAAAAAATGAAGATGGACTTCTGTTATTTCATTCGTCACAAAACAGTAAAAGGAGTAACAAAAAATTTCTGTCAATTCTCTTCCTTTTATTTTAATGAAATTATTAATTACCTATTGTATAATAATTTTATATTTTCTGTAATTTAAAAAAAAATTAACAAAATTTGTATGAGTTTATTCGACCCACTTTGTAGAGAGTCTGATGTATCATATTATGTAAAATAATAAGGATTTATATTTTTGTGCTTATTTGCACAATTGCTTTTTTTAATATAAGATGTTTTCAATATTTTAAAAATATGAATGACAATTTAACTAAAACTATTTTTAAGTGTTTCAATAACATATTCATTTTAACTCTTGTAATATATTAACACAGCTATCTTTAATTAAAATAAAATATGTTACTCTTAAAATTTTTATTCCATTTTGTCATAGACTTTGTATATATTACTTCATTTATTTTAATAATTTCTTTTTCAATATGTTCAAAAATTATTTTTAGCTCAATAAATTTCATTATTTGTTGTCATCAATTGCATGTCATTTTATAAAAATATGCTATGTATAGTACTTGTTTATAAATAATTTACTATATACATTAAAAGAAATATGAAAATAGACTCTTATTATGTCAATCTTCACAAAGACCGTGATAGTAGCAAATGTAATCTAAATATAACATTAAAATTCCTGTTTATTCATTTTTTTTTTTGTAATAACGAAATTGTTAATGATCTATTATATAACAATTTTACATTTTCTTAGAATTTTCAAATGTTTTATTAGATTATCTAGAAATTTTGCTTACCCTGATTTGTCGAGAGTCTACTGTATCCTTTAATTTCAAACATTAAAGTTTTATATTTTTGTGATTATATGCATAAAATTACTTTTTTCAATGCTTTAAAAATATAACAATATATTTGTAGAATAATATATTATTGATAAAAGATTCTATTAGTTTTAAAAATGTCAGTTTTGGTTAAACTCTTAAATGTTGGACTGTATGTTATGATTATTGTAATTGTTTTGATTAGTGTCATGAACTATGTTCCTTTTAAATGCATAGAATGTGGGTTTTAGTGAAACATATTATTTTGATCTATGGGAAATACTGTGTTCTAACATACATGTTTAGTTTTAAAGAAAAATATTGGGTCTATTAGTTTATTTAAAACCAACTTTACATATTGATGTAAAATTCTTATTTTTTGTATTAGTTTTCAATAGTAATCATTAAGTTAATTTCTTGTTATAAACTTATCACTTTACCCTTTTTAATTCCTTGTGCAGTCTGTTTAAATGCTGATATTAAGTTCACATTTGTTTACTTTAAATGTAAAGACTATTTTTAAAACTTAAGATTTCCAGCCATAATACATGTGCTGAAGATGTATTTATTTATTTTCTTCCAAATAAAATTTTGAAAACTATTGTTTTGATTCTTTTTTTACAGTTTTTTACTTTAAACTGCGAAGATTGCAATTTAATGTGTGAAAGTTCATTTAAGGATTTTTCACCCTTTGAAAAGAAGAAAACTGTTTTAAATAAATAAAAAAGAACTTTCTTTTAATAGTGCACTAAGTTTGTCAAGCAATGTGTTGATAAAAAAATTTCTTTTTCTATGCTCAATTTAAAACAAATTTTTAATCATTTGATTATTCAATATTTTGCACATGAATAGCAATATTTGCCTGATGGTTTGGTAACTAACACAAGATTGTGCTCATTTCAAGAATGTGACTACATCAAATTTATCAAAAACTTATGAAAGATTACTTAAAGGGTATGTAACCATACTTTATTCAAAATATTTATTATCTGCCTTTTCACTAGAAATTTATATCTCCTAAAGAGTTGAATGATCATTTCTTTAAATTATTTGACGAACGAAAATCTTTATTTGATGTCAAAATGTGCAATGACTGGTGATTACCAGAGGAAACCCGAATAGAGAATGGTTTTTAAATTTAAATATGTTTATGCAATTCTTATAGAACAGGCAAAGAGCTCGAGATTGTTGTTGTTTACACTTATATTGAAAACACCAAAGTTTTTTTACTTCAGGCATAGCTGTACTAGATCCGTAACTTAACTGTTGCTTCAGCAGCCCCCTAGGGGCCTTTATATCTATGGCAGCCGCAATGGGGTAGTATATAACGAGAGGATGTGTGTGATGCCATAGGAAACAAAATACCCCTTCAAGCATGCACAGTATACTAAGGATTATGGGTAACTCCTCCTTGTTGTTCTTCTTGGTAGACTATTACACAACAGAAAAAGGCGAGTTCATTTCAAGAATGTGACAAAACTTATCAAAAAATAATAAAATATTATTAAAGGGGTATGTAATTATAAGTATTAGTTTTCTGCCTTTTCACTAGAAACTTTTATTCCCTTAATAGTTGAATGATCATTTCTTTTAATTAAATGATGAACGTTGAATAAAAGCATTGCAAGAATCTATGTTCAGTTTCTTTCCTATTATCTTTAATGTTAAATGTAGAATGACTGTCGATTAAGACGTTCAAATGGAGCAATGGAGAAAAGAAATCCTAATAAATTCAGTACAGTTTTTAAATGCATTAGTATTTAATAGTTAGTTGAGTTAAGTCAGTCGTAATAAGCACGCTAGTCTTCATATGTATATGAAACAATAAATTCTTGGAATATTAATAATTTAAAAAAAAAATTATTTTAGCATTAGTCTTGTCTTTCCCACCAACGCTACGTAAAATGGAGGTAGCGGGTCCAAAGCAAAACAATAAATGAATGAGTTTGGTTTAGATACATATGCAGCATCGAATACTTAATGCAAAAAATTGCTTGTTTCTTGTCAAATTGCAGAACAGATATAAAGAAAAAGAGCATAAAAATATTGAACCCACTACCTTTACGCTGAGCGCTTGGCAGAAGAACAACACAATACGGCAATGGAGATCCCAATAATATACAGCTGTCTTACTTGAACCTCACTATGCAGTATTGCTATTCCGCTAACCCATTTAAGGCACATATGTAGCGTGTTCAAATTCCGCAATAACATTCAATGTATATTATGTCTTCCATGAAATTGTGTCATCTGTTTTTCAAACTGAAAAGAGTATTTAAGTCACCCCTTGTATTTAAAAATAAACAAACATATGTATGTAAATAAATCCCACTACATCATAAAAAATGGATAAAACAGTCACCATAGTATGATATATCTTAATTTAGCACCTTTAAAACACTTTAGTTGAACATTTGAAGACATCCTTTTCCTCTCTTTAACCCTTGTATTTAGAAATTATATTAGAATAAGGAAGTCATCATCTAACTTCTATTAACCATTTTAAATAAACCATGGAAGTGTAAACAGATTATTAGCGTTCTGTGTGGAAAAAGGCATCGACGTTAAAAGGTTAAAATTATCAAATAAATTATAGTACTGAAGTTCATTTTAGAAATTTTTTGTGATACTTTAAAGCATAGCATTAAAATAATTTATTTAGCTGCATTTGCTTTTGAGATTTGTATTTGTTACTAAATGTATTGTAATAAGAACTATAATTTTGAAAAGCAAAATTTCTGGTAAACTGATAAAAGTAAACAATAATATTAACATATGAAGCATTTAAATACCATATATTTTGGTTTAATTCTTAGAATTTCTTTACTATAATGATTTTGTCAAAAAAAAATTTCTCTGCATATGAATAAAACATTTATTATCAATGAAAGTTGATATCAATGGTTCATTATCACAGCCTTAAGTATAATGCAGTAGTGTATAATATTTTTTAGTTAAATCTAAGATTTAAAAAAAATCATCCAAACCCTGCTTTATATTTTTCTAGACATTTTGCACTGCAGTTCTTAGGGATTGGCCTCTACACACACTCACAAATCGGCAATCGTTAAAATTTTTATACAATTAATTTCTATGACATAAAAATTAAAATTTTACAAAATTCCATGCTGTTACTTTAAAAATTACACTACTGATAGAAAAGGAACACTAACTGAAATGAAATCAGACACATTTGGAAATATATATAAAAAAATGCTAAATTTGTTCTAAACAAAATATTCAGCTTTACTAACTTTTCTTATTTTATTTTTTTTCAAAATGTGTTCGATATTCACAAAATTTTAAATCTACAATGAGTTACATAGGTAATATCCTTACATATATAAATGATGACTAAACAGATAAATATAATCAATGTTTAATTACTCATCTGAAACTATCTAGATATAGCCTAATATTGATTAAAAAAAATTGCTGTTAACTTTTTTTTAATAAAAAAAATAAATTTGTTATGTCCAACAATTAAGTTTTGGTTTGTAGCAATAAAATATCTGAACAAAAACAATATTTATTTAGAAATTATGTTTATGAAAAACACTTTCGAAATAAATCCTAACCAAATATGAAAATTTTAGAATTTTGCTTGGACAAAAGAGCTTGCAATTAATCTTTGCAGAGCTTGCCCATAAAATCTTCGTTTGGCTTTGGGAATAAGAATCCTTACTAATATCACCTTTTGATTAATAAACTTGAATTCAAACAGCCCCCAGAATATCAGTTGTTATATAGCAGTCTGTTTTGAGAACATTAGGCAGAAAGCAATTATTTTCTGGAATGAATATGACATACACAATTTTATTTTAAAATCAATTGTAATTAAAAGTATAATCATAAATTGAGATCACTTATAATCACTTAAATAAAACTCTTATAAGCTGGAGTGCAAGTAACTCTTTGCTTGCAGTTATTTAATAGCATTTTGCCCCTAGGACAGCTAGAAACCCAACCTAAAATAGTGCCAAAATCGTAGAGTGTAAAGTCTCCTGCTTTTGCCACGCTGAAAAGTTTTATCAATTGCATAGGGGAAAAAAATTATGAACACACTTAAGTTACAAATTATGCTAGTGTCCCAGTGACAGCGATATTCAAGAACTATTCAGTGTTTGTGGCTTGGCTTTAAATTAATCAAAACTTGTTTGGCATATGATAGTTTTTTTTTTATTGTCAATTGAATCTGAGTATGCAAGACAATTTGTTAATGTAAATGTTACAGGGAGTTATGAAATAAGAGCCATTAATGTATGCTTTTAAATTCTTGGAAAAAAGCTATGCACTTTAAGAATCACAAGTTAATATTGAAATTAAAAAGAACAATGATGTCAATAAAAGAAAAAGAGTAATTAAAATAATCAAAAAACAATTTATTTGAGGAAGAAATTTTTTAAAAAAGTTTTCCTTTTCTTCAAAAGTGCCAAATTATTATTAATGTTTTTAAATTTGAATATACACGGTTAAAATCCAAAATAAAACATTAAAAAAAAAATCAGATTTAACCAATGAAACATTTATATTTGTTTCATTTGTATTGTTCAGTTTTAAGATTTCTTTTTGTTGATCTTTGTATTTTTATTTGCTTGATGAGTTCAAGAAAACACAAATTTTATTAAGATCAAATAATAATAATAAATATAGCTATAAAATGATACTTTGTTTTAAAAGTGAAGTCTACGAAAAAGTTAATATACTAGCGACAATTTAAAGGCAACTTCATGGAGATTTTGATGAAAAACAGATTTCTAGAGAGTACTCACTTTTCGATAATTCACCTCTATTAATAATTTAAAATTTATAGAAAAGAAAAAAGTGAGCTCACAGGGCAATAGAGGTAACTTATGAAGATTTAGATACTAGAGAGTTTTTTCAAAATATCAAACTGCAAATACCTCCTTATTCTAAACAAAATCTACAATAAAAAAAATTATCATTGTTAAAAATTAAACCAGATGATTTATGTGAAGAAAAAAAAAGGTTTTTTTTTTTTGAAAAGGTCAAAGTTCTGGAAATTGATCTTCTTCCTCGCTACCCTAAACTTGATGTCATCCCCAGAGGTAGAAGCTTTTGACAAACAGATCTTTTAATCACTTAAAATACTTTGAAGCGATTTTAGTGACTGTCTCTTCACACTCTTTTTTTTTGGGGGGGGGATGCTAAAAGCCATTAAGTAGGACTTAGCATTTTACTGCGGGAAAAGAGGCCTCATAAATATTGATTTTGAACCTTAATGTGCATAGATTTTTTACTTTGTTTTTACAAGAATTCGAAACATACATAAAAGAGCAAGTCATTACAAAGCACTCTGTAAATGCATCATTCTTGATTCAGAGACTTTCACTCAATTTCCAACCTGTACATTTCTAATTCGACCTTCATCAGCTAAGCTTATTAGATAGACCAAACTGTGTGTGGAGGCTAGTTTATAAACAGGATTCAGGATCTGTAATGTACAAAACAACAAATTACTTTACACGCAGTACAAAGGCAGGCTGTAACTAAATTGGAAAAGTTAACTTGGTATTTCATTGCTAATTTGTTTTTGGGAAGAGTAAAATATCTTTGATCACTATGAATTAGTAAGAATTTTAATGTAAGTTTACTTGTGAGGAATTTCACAAGTAAATATAAATGTAATAATCAAAAGAAAAAGAGATGGTCATTAATAATTCACTTCTCCTAAAGAACAGGTGAAAATTAAATAGTTTTACAGCTCTTTTTATTTTTTTTCACCAAAAACCATGAAAGTAACAGCCTTGGTTGGATCACTACATTAAATAAGAAATTATGGCAATAATCAATGATCTGTGATGCATGCTGTTTTTTGAAAAGAAGAACAGGAAAAATGGTCTTTACAGTTAAATTAATGAATAACCTTTTTACTGAGATGGAACAGCATGACAATCAACCTGGATAGCAGAAAAGCCATTTTAAAGCTGCAAAATGAATTATGTTATTATATTTTCTCATTAAAGCTTTAAAGTAGGTTATTGCCCAGCAGAAAGATGAAATTGATTTATTAAATTTTATATCAAATGAAATCAAAGATCAATAAGTCACAATAATAAAATAAATGGCACACTTCCTGATTACCTGGCTTGCAGGTTGCTTAGCGAAAAGAAGAGTGCCACTAAAGCATAAGGAGATATTGTAAAATAAGATTGACCTTCACTTCACAATTGTTAAGAAGCAGAAAGAAATCTTTTCATTTCATGTTGAAAAATTGTTTTTATGCCTTAAAATTTAAAAATCTCAACTTACAGACAAATAAAAAAAATATATATATATAAATTGCTTTAAAAATTAGAAGTAAATAAAAACCAGAAAAAAATATACTTTACCCTAGAATATGTGCATCCTATTACAAATATGTCTCTTATATTTTTATACTGATACTGAATCATGTTTCAACAGTAATTTACTTTGTGCTTATTATTTTATACATGTTGTAATGGTACCATATTTAACTGCAACTTATTTTGTTTAAAAATAAGCTTACCAAACAAAAAATTATTGACCCCTCACTCATTGTATACAATGTCAGGTTCAAATCAGATACTGCACTGTGATGTTTTGAAAATGTTTTTCTTTTGTTAATGATTAAGTTTATGATTGTGCCCATATACTGTGTGGCAACTCAAGCCACGAATAAGGTTAAATCCCCACTAAAGGGATTTCTACTAGGCGTCTTCCCTAACCAAGTTTCATTCTGATTGAATTCTCCCTCGGTTAGGGAAGACGCCTAGTAGAAATCCCTTTTGTGGGGATTTAACCTTATTCGTGGCTTGAGTTGCCACATCCTCCCGCCCCGAAAGAGAGTTAAAAAACAATTTACAAATAGAATTTAAAATTATACTAATACTAATTCTACATTAAACTACCAAATTAACAATTCACGACATACTGAGGTAAGCACAAACATGAACCAGTATGTTTATGTTAAAATTCACAATAAACTGGTGCTGCCTCTCAATCAAAATTTTTATGAGTATGCTTTCGATACTGCAATAATCAGCAATTCTTCAAATCAGTAGATTTGTGAGCTTAAACTGAATTCGACCCTCTTTGAAGAACTTGAGGACTCACTTCCTAGGAGAATTCAGGTGGTAACCAAGTCCAAAGACAAAGTTAATTTAAATAATACTTTTCATAATTTCTCTAGGGATAACTAATTGTTTGTGCATTGAGTTTATGACTCTTAACTATTTTAAAATTATTATTCATTATTAAAAGTATTATAAATGTTACAGATAATTGTTCATTTGAGATTTTAATTCCTATAGTATAGTAAATGAAAAGCTACGTAAATATTACTATTGAGATTACAAGAGAATATATAAGAAATATTTAATATGTATTATTGTGAAGTTTTCCTCACCTCATTAAAAACACGAGCTGAAAGAAGATCGATTTGTACTCCTACATCACGCATGTCCCCACTGTATCTGAAATATAAATCACACTTTTTATTTCACGTTACAAAAAATAAAATTGAATTTAGGGTTTTGTGACACTAAGTCTAAATAAAGCAAACATCAAAACAAATTGCAAAGAAAAACTGGCTTGAGGGATAATTTTTATTCAAGCTAGAACAGGGTGAAAAGTAGTTTAAGTACAAAACAACATCATTGTTGGTTAGACCAACAAAGTCTGTTTTGGATGATGGGTGTGAGTGAAATTTGGTATAAGATTTGTAAGGACCATAGGGGAAAGAAATCAGCAATTAAGAATTAGTTCAAATCTCAAAGACCAGGAGTCGAAAAGGAGTGCATAAAAATACTAGTTTGAGGCTTCTAATTAATCCAAAATATGGTCAATGTGTGCTCCATTGACTAATTTAATTCTGAAATTAATTTGTGATTTAAATCACTTGATCCTTTTAGTAAGTCAATGGTTTAAATTAGTCATTTAAAAATTTATTTTTAATTTAAAAAAAAACTGACGTGAATAACGACACTCAGAGAGCACTGATAACCTTGATTTTCTACAGATAGTTTCAAGAGTAATGAAATAGCACACTTCTTGTTATTCATTAAAACATCGCTTTGTTTCTCAGGCTTCCTCTTACCTTACTAGCATTTAAATTAAAAAAAACTTACATTGTAAAAATTCGTATAGGAACTATATTCAATGAATAGCAAAAATATGTATTGCATAGTTAAAATATTCATCAAAAGTGGCTTTATGGAGTCATCATAATTCCTATCAATAGCTTGTCCTGTTTTTTTGAATGTAGGATAAATTTCAGTGGAATAGACTGGTGTGTGATTTTTATAATTTTTAACTTGATTGGGGTAGTCAATCAATTTTGTCTATTCTTATGCAAATGAAAATTATCAATTATATTAATATGCATAATTTAAATGGGAATTCCACATTTCTTTTTTAAATCACTATTTTTTTTTTAAATGCAGGTCCTATACTATCTTTTTTTTCATCCTTAGTTCATTAAAAATAAAGTACAGACATATTAAATGAATTATTACAACAACGAATATGATATATTACATTATTACAATAAAAATATTTACCTTATGTAAGTCCAAAGGCAAAGAGTTAATAATATAACTCCCATAATAAGGTTACAAAAATGAGCAATTGCTGTCATGCCAATCAATGAAAATATTCCAGCTGAAAAGTATATTATAATATCTAGAGTAAAAAGTGTAGCAGGAGTTTTAGCAGATGCAAATATATTTTTTCCATCGTTATGCTTTTTGTAATTCAGGTACATAAGATCAAGTTCCTTAAAAAAAAGCAACAATATAAGACATAAAGCAAATACATTAATTTAACAAACAAATAAATGATATTCATGAAACAATGCTGTAATATATTATTTTGCAGTTTTACTAACAAGATAATGCACCATAGTGCAAAATAATGCATATAATACAAAAACTAGTAAACTCAATATTTTTAGAGTTATAAATTTTTTATGATTAGGGTTATCTAAGTATAACTTTCAAAAATGTAACAACAGCTTCAAGAAAAAAAAGAGCTTAAATTTGTTAAGTAACATGTTTCTAAATTATATTTTCAGAAACAGTTCAAATCAAACTTCAAAAAAATTGCAATTTAAAAGAATTAGTTGCTAAATTAAATAAAAAAACAAATTAATTATATTGAATAAAACAATAAACATAGTTGTTTCAAAATGTAGTTAACTATTGAACACACAAATAAACTCAATTCTTCATAATATCCCAACACATGATATAATATTCTATATAAAATTGAAAAAAATTTTTTTAAGCGAAAAGCTTTTATTTGTTCAACTGAAGATAGGGTTAAGGCAACTACATGTTTTTGCCCCACACATGATGCATGCAATTGATTAATATAGTCTGTAAAAAAAATTTGTAAATATATCTATACCTGGGATATCTTAATACCAAAAGTGAATACATAAAAGTAATTTTATTCATATTCATAAAACATTGTAATTTCTGATTGTTCCTCTGATGTTGAATCAACTGATTAACTTTAGGCTACACAAGAATGAAGCTAAACGATGTGAAATAAGTACAAAAGATATGACATTATTTGTGCTTTTTTTCATGTAGTTAAATTTTATTTTTTTATTTGCTACTTTCAGAAAAAGGTGAGTTTTTTAGGAGTAAATCAGTAAAAAGGGCATTTCTAACTATGAAAACCCTATGTTTAGTGTTCAAAAGGGAAAAAAAAGTAACACCCTAAATAACTTTTGATCTAATGATCAAAGTTTTATGTACCGTATTTTTCGGCGGAAGCGCCGCGGCGCTTTCGAAAAAAAAGTTGTTTTTTTCCTACATGCGGCGCTTCCGATGCAGCGGCGCTTCCGACGAAATATTTTTTAGTAGCAAAAAAATTTTTCAAGGAAAGTTATTTAAGATGAAATAATTTTCTGAGAGAAAGACTATTAAAAAAAAAATTAATAACGAAGTCGACGAAATATTCGCCCGTATCGCGATCTGCTGCAGAACATCGGCAATTGTAATTTGAGCGAACAGAAAAGGAAGTAATAGGACCCTAAATCCGACACTCACGGGACTGACGAAATGCCGATTTTTGGATCTCTTTCGGAAATTCCAATATGGGCCCCTAATATTACTATAATTCAATTCCATTGTTAATTTCAGAAAAACCGATAAATTTAGTCAAGTTTCGATCGTAGATTATGATGGGGTGAATTTAAAACTGGCCCATCTAAAGAAATTTTACTAATCAAAATAATAATCTATATAATATAATCAAGAAGAAATATTTCGAATCCTATGAAGAAGAAATAATCGTTTCTTCTTTGGAGCGAGATCATAGTTCTCGTTTTTTCTTTTAGATAACATTTTGTTTTAACAAAAGACGCTTACCTCGCAAGAAAAAAAAAATAAAAAAAAGCTAACAAGGAACTACAAAAAAAGAAAAAAAATTTAACAATTATTGCTAAGAAACTAACAATGAATAACAACAAAAAACAAGCGAAAAACTAATAACGTTAAAAAAAAAGAAACAAGCAAACAACTATTAGCAAGAAAAAAAACAAGCTCACTATTTACAAAGAAAAAAAAACCAACAAATTAGCAGTTAATAACTAATAAAAAGCGGCAAAATAAAAAATTAATAAATCGAATAAAAAACCGCAAAAGGGATAGAATTCATTTTGTTGTCTACATGGTAGTTTCAATGTCAACTGGGTGTGGCCAATTTATGGTCAAACAGAGGAGGGAGAATTGGGGGCGAATCAGTAAAGTGCAAGCCTAGCTGTCAAGATTGATTGATCAGTTTTTTCCAACTTGCATTTCTTTATTTTGTTCATTGGAAATGCAGATGTTTTTACTTCTCAATTTATTTTAAACTGCTTAAGAAACAGATGTTTCCTTTGACACAGATTTTTTTTTTCAAGCTTCTTTTTTATTTTTAAAAGATAAAATAAAGTAAGTTACTTCAACAGAATAAAATTCCAAATAAAAAGAATATAGCTGATTTTTTTTTTATCTTATCAATATAAATTTCTTAAAAAAAAAAGAAAAAAAAATTAGATCAGATTAAGTGCTGAATTTTGGAATGCTGGATTAGGGGTCCCATACCCTTTTCTTTTCCCCAACCCCTTTAAAATATAACTGATTGATTTCTCCTAATCAGCTCCAGTAGAAATGACACGTGGAGGAGGTGGGGTACACCCCTCTTTTAAACATTTTCTTCTCTTTCTAGTTGAGTCACATTGGGTTATTTCCATTGAAGGAGAGGGCATTCTACCCACTAAAATTCCACCCCCTAAGATTGTGAAAGTGAAACTTATTTCCTCTTCTCTCATTCCTTCAGAATTTTTTTGGGGCTTGTTTAGTTATTTATTATTCTTGTTATTGTTAGTTATTTCGTTATTATTAGCTGTTTCGTTATTATGTATTAGTTTTTCCTCAAATTGTTAACGGTAATAAATTTTAAAATCTTTTTATTTTAAAATTTTTCATATAATAAATTTTTATTTTACTTTTCTTATTACATTGTTTTACTGATTTCTGTAATCAGTTCAGCGTAGCTACTGCACATATAAATAATTTTTTTGCTGTTCTTCTGTTCTTTGGCGCGGTGCCAACTGGTAAGAACAACTTTATTTTATATCGTTTTGTTGTTTTCTTTTTTTTTTTTTTTTTTGCTGAAAAAGAAATTTTTTATTATAATTTAGAAATTAAAACTTTACTTTATGAAATGCATAAAAAAATTTAATTTTTTATTATACAGATATTCTAAATGGTATTTTAAAGGTCTCTTCTAAAAGGATGCTGATATGCCCGGTTTAGCGCCATTGCGGCGCTTACAATAACTTTTTTTTTAAAAATTTCAATTTTATCGATGTGCGGCGCTTGCGACGAAGCGGCGCTTTCGCCGAAAAATACGGTAATAGGACTCAATCTCATTAATTTGAGGAGTGATGATTAAAAATATGCTAATCAGTTAATGTATATAATATTTTAACATAATCAGACAAAAAAACATACTTTCTTTGAATAAATATACTTTTTTATGGATTTGGATTCCCAACTCTCAAAATATAGGGGATATCAGGTAAATATGGTTACAGCAGTTTGGTCAGAAGAGCAACCAAAAGTTTTGACCTCTTCTTGTTATTTTTACTTTTTTGCAATCCCGATAACTTTCTAAAAAGTTTGAAAATTTTTCACACAATTTTAAAACTTGTTTATCCAAAGATACCATGTGAAAAAAATGTAATAATTATTTATCATCAAAAACAAACAGACAAAAAAAAATAGAACTGGAATGTAAACAATTTTTTACATCATTTTAAAGAATGTAAATTTATAAAGCTAAATGCAAAATTTGAACAAAAGCAGTCAAACAGTTCCCGAGAAATCAAATTTTAAAAACGTCGTGTATTTAAATTTTGATTTCCTAGGAACTATTCAACTGATTTCATTTGCATTTTGCAATATAAAATTACATTCTTTAAAATGATGTAAAAATTTTATACCTTACAATTCAATTATATTATTAAATAAAATAATAAATATACACTAAAAATTTCCTTTTTGAATGAAATTATCCTTAAATTTAATTAAATTTTCAATTAGCAAAATTTCTCAAGATGTGGCAAAATACGCAAAAAGTAAAATTAACATTAAGGAGTCCAAACTTTGGACCACTCTGCTGACCAAACTATGGGGACCATATTTCATAGATTGCGGCTATCACCCATATTTCGGCGGTTAGAAATTTCAATCCAGCGATTGAGAATTCAAGAATTTGAATCCAATTTGAAAATCCAATGATTGAGAATTCGAATCCAATGATTTCATAACTTAAAATATCATATGCACTAACCAATTAGCTTATTTGAGATCGCCCCCCTTGAAAAAAGTTTGAGTCCTAGTGCATAAAAATCTGATCATTAAAATCAAAAGTTAATCAGGATATTTCGTCTCTTATTTTTATTTCTTAATACACACTGTACATGTATAAAACACGTTCTTTATTTGAGTACCAATAGAATTTCTTATCATGAGTGGAATTAATGGTCATGGAATTTTTTTGATGAGAGAAAAGCTCTGATTTTACATTATTTTCTGGATAGCAACATCCTGGAAATTACTTACCATACTTAATGAGCATGAGGGATAAAAGCTCATTTTTAAGATTGAGTCATCACAGCATATTATTAATTCCAAAAAGCAGAAACCAAGTAAGCGATAAAAAATAAACAGCTTCAATTAAAAAAAATTCAACCTGCTGAGAGTAAAATATGCTTTAGCTTACCTTTAAGAGTTTTTCACAATATTGCCGAGAAAATTCTTCTCCTCCCATTTTTCTAGTGTAATTGAAAAGTATCTCACATTCATTTTTTAAATGATTATGATGGAGCTCTAACTGCTGAGGTCTTATATAAGGTTTATCACCACCACAAATCTTAAAAGTAAGAAATATTGTTAAATATGAGAAAATAAGAAAAGAATTATATTTAAAAGAATTATATATTAAATATAATCCATAAATTGAGCTTACATCTAACACGAAATCATTTAAATCCTTTCCCACATAGAAAGTAATAATATTGATTTAATTATCTCATAAAATATGATGCGTCTTTAGTAGCTTGAGAAATTGATCAGTCCCACGTTACTAAGACCGATTAATATTTAAATATATTGTCCAAAGAGTTATAGAAACACTCTTTCCAAGGTCAATTGTCTCTTTTTTATCCACCAGCATGGAATGTTCTCATTTCTGGGCCAATTTAATAAAGTTCTATTATTTTTTCATGTTCCTGCATCTGTTTCAATAAACAGCCTCACTACGAATTTAATGTTAATGGTTTCAAAGCGTAATAAACATACACATATATTATTTACATATGTATTTATACAATGTAATATATTAATTTAATGTATTTGTATACATATTTATACACATACATGTATATCTTGTATATTTATAATTATTTTTTAATGGTTTTTATTTAACCATTAAAATTATTTTTATATGCGCATTTATAACACACGCGTTAAGTCTGTGATCGGTGCCAGCGATAGTATGGTAGAACTTTGAGCAGGTGTTTAATGAAATATTTTTTAAAATTATATTTTGCAGCCATGACGTATACACCATTGCGGCCTATCTCCGCAAAATTATAGGAGTTTTGTCTGCAGTTATTTATTGTATTTTCAGCCATATCCTAGTTTTTAAAATTTTTAAATGTTTTCATGACATGAGAAGTTCAAATTCGAACTATTACTGTACGGTGCATTTGGTTTGTAATTATTCTGTCGTAAATCTGCAGCATTTGCTGGTCTTTGTTGGCAGTTATTTTTTGTTTCTTGTCCATTTTTGCAGAATTTTTCAATTTCTGTATTAATACAAAGTTATTACAATATGCAATTTAGGAATTTGAGTTATCTTTTCTTTAAGTGCTTGAAATTTTTTTTTGGATCTTTGCTTAAAATATCGTGACTTTTTGGGACTTTGCGAATTTAGGGACTCTTTTATCAAATTCAGGACTTTCGTGATTTCTATGACACTCTATTCCACCTATTGGAGCTATTCTCTAACTAACCATAATATCGGAATTGACAAAAATTTTCAGAACCCCAATTTTTAAATATATTCCTAGGTCAAGAATCAAATTTTGTCAGGAAACAGTTACTTAAAAAATTTCAACTTACAAATTTACACAAACAAATGTATTTCCTGAGAGTAAAATACTTTTTTAATGGACTCGGGTATTTAATCCTCAAAGGCTGGCAATTTGGAAAATAAGACTGTTCTAAAACAGAGAAACTGAATTTTCCTATAGAATTCAGTAGCTGAGATTTTACAAGTTGTTAATTTTCAGAATAAATTTTTACTTGCATACACATATTAAAAAAGGATTTGACAGTATTTTGCTTAAATTTAGGGTATAATACAGCTGAGGTACTTCTACAAGTAAGCATTCTTCCAAAAAAATATTTGATATTTTAAAAAATGTGTCTAAATATCAGGGGCTGCACCAGTGGCGTACGCAGAATTTTTTCAAGGGGGTGTTCATAATTTTCTGAAATTACTAAAAGAAATTCTAGTATGTAATAAAGCACTATTATTTCCCTAATTTAGACAGCTAACAATTTTAACTTTTTATTTAGATAGCATTGTTTAGTTAAATTTTGATTTGATTTTTTAAATTTAAGAACATAGTGTAATATCTTCTCGCATGTAATATCTTCTGAAAAAAGTTCAATGTCATATGAGTGGGAAGTAACACTTTGAGGGTCACTTTCACATTCATCAGATTTTGTTATGCTAGAAACGTTTTCTTCAACTGAAGTATCACATTTCTGTTCAATAGAAAAACTTACATTGGTACCAGATGCCGTCATCTCACTAATTTCAGGTCGTGATTTTTTCTCACAATGATTAAAAATTGTTAAATTCTAGCGTTTTGGCATCCTGAAGATCCAAGAACAGCAAATATATACATATATTTATTGGCATAGAAATATCCGCTATGCTACGATCTCAAAGTTTCAACTTCAACGAGCACAGTATCTCCAATGGTATTGTTACTGATTTCTTCACTAGTCGAAATAGTGGCAACGACGGGTCCGGCGATTGAATTAACTTTTTGTTAAGACAAAACGAAATAGATCTGGCGACAAGCTGCAAAAGACAAGCGGCAGAGATAACTCTTAGTCTGGCTAACTAACTCCACTGTACTCCGTCCCCCCTTTTATCTAATTTTTCACCGCATGTCCAAAATTCTCGAATTGTCTCAAAGATGACAGAACGCCTAGGATTCCACAATCATCGCGTAAAGACCTCGCGAATGACTGCCAATCTCGAAAACTATCGCGACTGGCAGGACAGAAAGGAACCAGCCCGTAGTACGACTCTATTATAGTATATGTTTTTTCAGTGTTTTGAGAAATACCGTGAGAAGAAAAAGCAGGCATAAGGCAAATAAAAATAATATAGCCTTAAAAAATTATAGCCCGCATAATTTCAACTAAAATTTTCATTTTTGCTATTTTGTCTGAGCTCAAGGAGGGTGTTTAAACCCCTAAACCCCTCCCTTGCGTACGCCCCTGGGCTGCACGAAGCATTCACTAGCTTGGCAAATGCGATAAAATTATAAATTTGGAAAATAAAATTGCGTTTTGAGAAAAGTACTGGAGAATGATTTTTTCACATGTAAAAAATATATACCGTAATTTCGCGGAGACAGGCCGCGGCGTTGTCAATTTAAAACTTGAAAATTTCATAAAAAGGCGTATCTAACGGGGCGGCCTATATAGCATTACTTTTTTTTTTACATAGCATTATTTTAGAAAATTTTGTCTTTTAGAAGCCCCACTGGAAATTTCATCATCATTTTTTCCACCTGTTACTTATGCTTTTTATTTATTTTTTCATCTTTAATGTTACTCCAAAGAATGGTCAACGCACCTAGAATTTCCTCCTCCCCCATGCTTCTAAGAATCACTTTCTGGAAAGCATTCATAGCATTATTTGCTATCTGCAAGAGAACAAAAGCTTTTCTTTCCCTTCTGCCTTAGGAACAGCAATTGAGTGCAGGGGACGGGCGTGGAGTGGAGAAGCATAAATCAGAAAGGAATGAATAAAGAAAATCAGGGTGGTGCCAGTGATGACATTCACTGTGAAACAAACGCTCCCCTCCCCGTTTTTTTCCAGGAAATATGTCTCTTCCACTTGTCATGGTTTCATCAGTAAGTATCCACTTCCCTTTTTTCAGCTGTTTGTTAAAAATATGTGAATGTTTGATGAATGAATGGTGCCAATGAGCTTGAGATGGCCTTGAATATTCTTACAATTCAAGAAGAATTTCTAACTTTCAACTCAAGGTCAGTGAAGAGAGGAAGAAGCAATGTGGGTGAATTTTACACCTTCCTAGGCGGAGTCAGTAAATAAAAAAGAGCTGTTTTCTGAAGTCTCATTTGAGAAGAGAAAGTAGGGAGAGGGGAATATAGAAAGGTGTTTTAAATGCTTGGGAGGGGAGAGCTTTCAGGGTTCCCACTCTTTTATCAAAGCAAAAATTAAGCACTTTTAAGGACTTTTATCAAAAAAATTAAGGACTTTTTTTGTAGAAATTAAGGACCTTAAAAATGATTATTTATCATCAAATAAAACATCATAGATTAATAATAATAGATTTAAAAAATGGAATAGCTTCTCTTCAACTCAGTCATCCTTTAAAAAATTTAAAAAAAAACTAAATAAAGAAATGTTTAATACAAATAATCTGTATATAATTAAAATTAAATTGCATTTAATCACTTCACATAAGCTTTTAAGAATATAAAGAAAAACTCAAAGAATTCAGATTAAACATTAAAATTTTCTATTTTAAAAATAGCAAGAAATTGTGTAAACAGATAGAAATATATAAATTATGACGGTAAATTCATTAAATTAATAAAAATATTATTTTGAGTGACTAATAGTAAACAAAGACACAAAGAAACTAACACATATAAGTTTATTGAGGTTAAGACAATTATTTTAAACTAAGTAAAACCTAATTATAATAAGCTCAAGATTTATTAAAATCACAAAATATAAAAAATTTAATGATTAAAATCAGAATATATTTAGTACCTAACAATCAGGAAAAAAGAAAGAAATAAACTACAAGGAAAACTTATTAATTAAAATTAAGAACTGAGAAACAGAAATGATAGTTAAAATAAGTGCTAATATAAATATTGAAACACAGGACAAGGGAGGATGTAATGATCAATTGAAATAAAAATGAAAAAATTCCATACCTAAAAATTGAAAATGAAATGAAATAATTCATTAAGTACAAAATTTATTGTGAATGAAGGATAAAAACAACAAAACATAGTGGAATCAGAAACAAAAAGATAAAAAAACTTAATAAAATAGTCTGCGTTTAGTTATAAAAAATTGTATGCTTACACTGATAAGGAACCTCTGAGGAATTAGAATTTATTCAATTAAAAAGTATTGTGTCTTGTATAGATATTAAAGGAACTAAAATAATGGATGATAAAAAAAATTTGTTCGTAATAAAGTATTGTCTGAAATTATAAAACAATAATTTGTCAAATCAATCAAAGGTAATGAAAATTGGATGCAAATATGGATTATATATATATATATTACTTATTATAATTATATTAAAATTTATCAATCAGAGATCTTTAAATCAATCAAAAATAAATTTATAACAAAAGAAAATGTTAATTCTAAAAAAAAATTTAATCTATAACATCAATAGCATTGCTTAGTTTTTTCAATTAAAATAAAGATGGATTGACTTAAGACTGTCTTAAGGATTGACCTGCCTTAAAGTAAAAACAAACACAAGCTTTATTTTAATTTTTTTTAAAATTAAAAATTTTTTAAAAATAATAATAAAACTGTTACAAAATATTTTACAAACATTACAAATTAAAAAAAAAAAAGAAAATGTCCACTTAAATAAAACATTTTTTAAATTATTTGTCGAAAAAAAAATTAGCTTTTGAAACTTTGTTAGGCTTTTGTTAATTACTTATTTAAAATAATAAAGTTGTATTGACTAATGGTCAAATGGTTTTAATGTAAGTTCATTTATTTATTTATTATTATTTTCCTTTCTGAAAATGAAATAGACTAAAGATTTAAATGTTTAAAAATAATACTCACTATCTGACAAATTATTAAACGAACATGTATTGAAGGGATTTTAAAAAAAATATATATATATATTCTATATTTAAGAGCACTATTGTTAAATTATTGAAAAGCGTTAAAACATTGCTTAACTTTTTATTTAATTTAAAAAAATTTAGTCACTTTAACTAACAACCAAATTAAAAAAAAAAAAAAAAAAAAAAAAAAAAAAAAAAGAACGCAAACTCTGTTTCAATTTCCTCAAAAATAAAAGCAAATTAATTAAATGTAGGCTTTATTCTAATTTTTTAAACCAAAAGCGACTGAAGATTTATTGGTTTAAAAACTAATCAAATTATTTTATTTAAAAAACTTAACTCAATGGCGCGACAGCCCATAGAGGGCCAAGGCCTACTGTGCCCATCTCAGTTTTCTTAACCTTGGGCTCTGGGGTGCAACGTGAATTAAATAAATTTAAAAAAACAATTTACTTTCTATGACAAAATATAAATCACTTAAATACAAAATATATAAAATATTAGATTGTATCACTTTTAAAAAAATCAATAAAGAATTTATTTTTTTTAAATTCATGATTTCTAACAGTAGGTCTGCTGAAAATAATTGAAAACGTTAAATCCAAACAGAAAAAAAAGTGACAAAATAATGCGCAACAATCGCTAAGTAGCAAAAGTCTCACTGAAAATAATTTATTTGAAACGTTATATCAAGTCGAAATAAAACGCACAGCGAACGCAAAATAAGTCCCGCTGAAAATAATCTTCAAGAAACGTAAAATCCCAAGGTCAAAATGGCGCATAAGGAAACTATGCATCGCGTTCTATATTTCAATGTTGATCCTCACTCTTCGTTATTTAATATCACGAAACGAACATCATCTTCGTAGCTAAAAATGTAATCAACATCTTCGCAGCTAGACGAAATCAAAATAGTCTTCGTCAGAGCGGTGATAGCGTAAGCATGCGCAAGAATCCTCGCACGTTAAACCGCGAGCGTCTTAAATCAGATTCCTGATGCATCGCCTAAAATAAAAGTAATTATATCGGCCTGCCGATATGTGCATTAAGTCGATAAATCGCGATACATCGATTTAGAAATGTCTAAGAATAGCGCTCTTTAAAATTGCTGCATCATAACAAAAACAAATTGGGAAAGTCAAACGAAATAAAAACAAAGAAATCTTTCTCAATTTTTAGAAGAAAAATTTAACGTTGAAAAATACACTTCAAGTGTTTCCCATCGCCGGATTTTTAGAAAAAATGACGAAAAAGAAGCTCTTTAAAATATGCTATCAAAATAAATATAAAAAAAACACAATTAATCAAAAAAGCAAAAGAGAAACAGAAAATTTTCCTAAATTCTTAAGACAAAACTTGCAACGTAGAAAATCAATTCTCTATTTTACCGGTTATCTAATTATCTGTATAACTTCAAAAGAAAAAGTGGAGATAAAATATATCAGAAACGCTGTTAAATTGCTGCGCTATGAAATAAAAAAACCCAGCAAAAGTGAAAACAGAAAGCAAACATTTCACTCTTTAAAAAAAAAAAAAAGTGTCGATGAGAAAACGACGAAAATGACTTTCCTGATTAAAATTATACTTCGCCGAATATTCGTAATATCCCTAATATTAAAAAAATGGAGTCATTTATAAAATTCAATTTCAGAAGAAAATCTGATACAATGAAAAAAATCCACTTTGCCTTGCGACGATCACTAGATGCTGATCCATTCCTTATATTTTTCATCAAATGTCCATAAATTATTAAAAACACACTTTCCTGACATTTCTAACAATTTCACATTTGAATGAAGTATCAAAGCTACCACGTGTGCTATCGGAAGAATTGAATTTCTCGAACCCTATGGATGTAGAAGGTCAATGCAGGTCTTCAGCTGATAAAGTACCTCTAAGTACTGTCTAAAAATAAGTAAAGACCTCTACCCACCTGCAGTATCACGCTCCCCTCTCCCCACACTAAATTTTTTTCTTTCAGAGTGATCCAGAAAGAAATATTTTAATGAAAAATTAATAAAAGAAAAAAACAAACAATAAGGACGTGTTTTCTTCCACTTGCTTGTAGCCCCTACCCTTACACACATTCAAAGTATTCTACCCTCAATGCAGGGTCTCATTCTAGGCGAAAGACATACTTTTTAACTGTGGATATTTTCCTAAGATAAAAAAATTGTTCCAACCAACTAGTGATACTAGAAATTAAGGACTTTTAAGGACCGTGAATCAAAATTCAGTACTTTTAAGGGCCCTTAATTTTCAAAATAAAAACAAAGCAGTTTTTAAGGACTTTTAAGGACCGTGAGAACTCTGGCTTTTTCTTGGAATTTTTTTCATTGCTCGTATTTCTGCCTTAAAAGTTCGATTATCTTCTTCCTTAGCTTATTTTTTTTATCGTCTAATCTTCAATTCTGATCTTCTGTTGCGTTTTTGTTTAGTTAATATTTTTTTTCGTTAATATTTTTGCCTCGTTAATTTTTTTGTTATTTTGTTTTATTTAAATTTCAACATAACTTGTTTTTAAGTTATATATTTCAAATGCCTCCCATTAAGAGGAAAAGTTATACTTCTGCATTTAAGCTTTCAGCTATTAAAAGAGCTGAAGAAATTGGAAATCGGGCTGCTGCTCGAGAATTTGATGTAGATGAACGGGATGACCCGGAAATAAACAATGAACTTATAAACTTATTTTGCTCCGATACTGAGAGCTCAGATTTTGAAGGTTTTTAACTGCTGGATGTGATTATATTTGATATCTGGATATATGATTATATGTGATATATTAATAAATTTTAGTTTTGCTTTGAACAAAATTTGTTTGCACTTATTGTTTAATGCTAATTTAAAAGTAAGATTGTTTTATTTTTAAAAATGTTAATGCTTATTATGCTACATTGATTATTTAATTCATATTTTAATGGTTACTTCAAATTAAAATTAGAAAATGCTTAATATTTACTTAGAAAGTTATTGAAATCCATTTTAGTAGGATTGCTTATTTTTTTTTTTTTGTGTATTTAATATACTTTTATTGGTTTCTCATTTAACTATTTAAGTTATGTATATATATGAGTATATAGAACATGTTTTAAGTCTGTAATCAATACCTGCTTTGGTATAGTATAATCCGGCGTGGCATGCACGGCGAAATTTTTTTATTTAGCCAATTTTTGAGGGCGCGGCGTGTATACCAGGGCTGCGTTTCTCCGCAAAATTACGGTATATAAAAATAACTGTTAAGATTTGCATTTGGCGAAGACTTTCAAAAATTGGTGAATACTTTTGATATTTGGCTAATAATTTGAAATCCCTTACTACTTTGCCTGAATATAATTTTAAAACTTATAGCTATACTTTATTTACATTTCTCAGTGCATTTTAGCAACAATAAAAAATTATCCTGAATTGAAGTATAAATTAGAGATGTGAGATTCACTAGTACTATTTTTAATTATCTTTAAACCCATTTTTGAAATCAAGTTTTTACAACTCTAATTTTGTTCACCTATTATAAACAAAAATCATTTCTAAAACTAAACAATTAACAACAAAAACTATTTTTATTATATTTCATGTGACGGGGTAGTAGAACTATCACATACCTAGCAAGCAACATTTTATGCATGTTGGACATTTATTCACCCAGATTTCTGCTAGGTGAATACCTTTCATTAAAAATAAAATGTTAAAAAACTGTTTCAAGAATTAATTTCTATCACCAGTAAACTATATTTATGCAAACACTAGCACACTCAGAAGTTAAAGACTCCTTAGCACACTCAAAAAGATAAAGGTTCATTTCACAAATGTAAAATAAGCTATTTAAAATGAATAAATATACCTTTTCCATTGCGCTACTGTAGTGATCTTTTGCATTAGTAACAGCTGTTAGATTATTAGCCTCAGCTGTTGCCTGTAAAATTATAATCGAAATTCAAATATGATCATAATAAACAAATAACAAAGAAGATTGCACCTTCATCAGTGTAAAAACATTGAACAAAGAAAAATATAATAGAATCAAATTAGTAATGGAGTAGGGGTGCACAACCTGCGGCCCGCGGGCCAAATGCGGCCCTTCGACTACTGAAGTGCGGCCCGCGAGAGCTTCTGAACACAATAAAAAAAATTTAAAAAAGGGCAATTTTTAATCGCACTTTTAAGTCATCACGTTTTGACACAATCAATTATAACATATTCTTTAGTAAATGTATGTTTAACGCGCTTTCTTTAAGCCGATTTTATCGTAAATATAAATGATTTTTTTTGAACAGTTATTTCCGCTTTTCTACGTGATTTCGAAAATCCCGAATTTTTATTACGACGCGTCTAACAATCACGTGTCGTAATAACATCACAGTTGAATAACGGGATTGTCAAAATCATGTGGAAAAAGTACAGAAATAATTAGGTGAAAAAATTACTTATATTTATGCTGAACTCAGCACGAATAAAGTGTGTCAAATGCACAATTTAAAATTGGCATGTCCTAATAGAATAATTGGAATTTTTTATGATACGTGGGAACGCATAGCAATAACTGCCGAAAAAAAATTTTGAAAAAAAGAAAGAATTGCAAAAAAAAGATAAAAAATCACTTAGATTTAAGATGAAATCGTCACATAAAGTGCACCAAAAAGTGATTATTTAAATGGGCGATCTGAAACTCGTGCAATTAAATAATCACTTTTTGATACGGTATTTCGGTGCAGTTTTATCGTAAATCCTAGTTATTTTTCCTTCGTTTTTTTTCCGCAACGAATATGATTTGGTCGAATATGGTAATGAATTGTGATTTGGTCAAAAACCAAATATTCATTAAAAAAAAAAGAAGAAGAAAAATCGACTGAACGCCGTACACTTGGGGCCAAATAGCAAAATCTTTTAGCAGCATAGCAACACTGAAACTGAAATTTCAATGCTCAGAATAATATTTCCTGGGAAAATGTATTCATAAATTAACTCTAAAAAATAAGGCCAATCAAGAACGTTTTTGAAAATGTCGAAATGTCAAACAGAGAACATAAAAATCAATCTTAATTTTTGAAGGAGCCGGCCAGGTGGCCGAGCGGTTAGCGTGCCTGACTGCGAAGCCATAGGCTGCGGGTTCGAATCCCGCTCTGGGCATGGAGGTTTCTCTCTCTCTCTCTTTGTGCTGTCCTCTGTTGTGTGTGTGTGTATGATGTGTGAATGTGGCCCACCCTATAAACGGGTTTGTGGCAGTGTGGCGTGGGCAATGTTGCTCGCCTCCGTGACTTTGGCTCACAGGTGCCCACTGGGTAACGCGAAATGAGCAACAATTCTGGCATAGTATAGGCGAAGATTCAAATTCAGTGCCTGCCATTGGAAAAAAATTTTTTTTTTTTTTTAAAGAAAATTTTAAAGCTGAACATCTCAGTTTTCCAATTACCAGAAAAAGCCAAGAAAAAGGAATTAAGTCAACAGAAATGCTATTAAAAATTACTACGTTATAACAAAAACGTCTAAAAAAAGTTTTTTTTATTTCAAAAAAATAAAAAGTTAGAGAAAACGTTCTTAATTTTTTAAATGAAAATCTTATGCTGAAAATCGCAATTAAAATTTTTCTTATTGCCATAATTTTAGAAGAAAAAAAATTGCTATAAAATAAATTTTATTAGCAACTTTATTTTTTAAAAAAATGCTGAGTCATAATAAAAATGCCTAAAAAGGAAAAACAGAAAAAACAAATTTTTCTTAGTTCCAAAAACAAAACTTTAATACTGAAAATCACACTTTTCTATGTTACTGGTTATTTATATTACAGTATAGGGAAAGAGTGATAATAAATTAATAGTATGAGGCGTTCTGTTGAAATGCTGGGTTATAATAAAAACAGCAAAAAATGGAAAAAAATCCTTCTTAATTCTCAAAGTATTGAAAAAAATGACAAAATTGACTTGTCTGATTATAATTTTTAAAAAAAGTAGTATCTATAAAAATTCAAAAAAAAAAAAAAGAACTTAGAAAAATACATTTCTAAAAAATATTCTGCCGAATATTTGACTGATCATTCAACCAACTGAATTTTTCACAGATGGGCCAAATACTCGTTACATCCCTAATTTAAACGCAATGTTATTGCAACTTGAGAAATTCATAAAATGGCGGAAAACGTACATTTTTAAACAGCTCACTGTTTGTAGTTAAGATTTCAATTTTTTGTTGCTTAAGTGGTCTCTTTCGATTAAAAAAAAAAGGAAAATTTTCACGATATAAAAAAATCTAATAATTAATAAAATGAAATAATAAAGTACATTACAAAATAAATATTGAATTTTATTTTCCTATACTATCATAATTTTGTTTTTATTTTGGGCTTTTGTTAAAAACTTATAAATTTTCTTCAATTAAAATATTTAATTTGAATTTATATTACTTAATTATGACTAAATTTTTTCCTACTTTCATTCTGTAGGCATTGCAGTTTTTTTTATTTATTAGAATTTACAAGGCGTATCCAGAAAGTAAGTTTTCCTTTTTTTTAAAAAAAAAAAGAACTCATACTTTCAGGAACATATTTTTTGCCAATAGGTACAGCAATGTTTCAGCTATTTTTCAACATAGCAACATAGAATTGAGACACTTGTCGTATCATGGGTTCAACTTTTGTATCCCTCTGTCGTAGAACTCTGCCGCCTGTGAATGGAACCACGTTGTGAAACATTAAGCGCTGCCATTCAAAACAAGAGGAGTGGAATGCTTACTGCAGGTGTTGTGCTCCTCCATGACAATGCTCTTTCACATACAGCTCGACGCACAGCAGCTGTTTTGACGAAATTTGGCTTGGAGTTGTTTGATCATCCACCCTACAGCCCTGATCTTGCTCCCAGCGATTTTCATGTTTTCTTGCACCTCAAGAAATTCTTGTCCTCCGGTGAGCGTTTTGGCAACGACGAAGAGTTGTCACACGCTGGTTCCATTTACAGGCAGCAGAGTTCTACGACAGAAGGATACAAAAGTTGATCCCACGATACGACAAGTGTCTCAATTCTGGTGGTGGCTATGTTGAAAAATAGCTGAAACATTGCTGCACTTGTTGCCAATAAATATGTTTCTGAAAGTATAAGTTCTTTTTTTTAAAAAAAAAATAGGGAAACTTACTTTCTGGATGTGCCTCGTAAGTCTAAAATGAATTTTCGTATTGCATGACATGATAAAAAATAAAAAAAACATTTCTTTTCTTCAATGTTTATTTATTTTGATAAATCTATTGTTCATATGATAAAAATAGCAATTTTTTGTAAAAAGAAAAAGTATAAGTTTTTTTATTTTTGAATGAATTCTAAAAATGGAACACCTTTAACTTTTTACAAATGTATTACAAAGTTTATTGATAAAAAAATAGAACGCTAATGTTTAAATAAACATTACTACATTTGTCATTAACATGTCTCAATACATGTGCGGCCCTTCGTTAGCCAACCTGCTGTGTAAGTGGCCCTTCACTCAAAAAGGTTGTGCTCCCCTATAATAGAGCCTTCATTGGTCATATGTGGGACATTTCCTAATGTTTTTTTATTATTTCCACATAGTTTTATTTCCATATAATGTTCTTTTTTATTATTTCCATTACTTAGTCTTTTTTAAAAATGGAAATTTTATGTGGAATTTTTCTGAAGTGGTCACAACTCAAAATATATTATTTATAGTAATTAATGCCAGTGTCTTTTGTGGAGCATTGTTGAAAATGCATATTAGTATTTTTCAAACAAAAAGACGAATTTTGCTAATTAAATTATTTAATCAATACATATTATTATTTCTCATGAAAAGTAACTCCACTCATTGACTTGACAGTCCCTTGAGGATTGGAGTTGGCTTCAGGATAGCCCTCCATTCCTCATGGTTATGGGGTATAAGGTAGTCATGCAATAAGTTTTATTAATATTGTTATTATTTTTTAAAGTTGAGATTAGTTTGTCATATTTATGACACCTGAGAAAATAGTACATTGTCCCATTTTTTATCAGTTCACAAAAAAACACTTCAAATTTAATTTTACAATTGAAGACTTTTATTACTCAGAAAAATGAAATTTTCAACAATAGCACAACTTTAACAATTCTACTTTTTTTAAAAGTAACTTGCAAAATTAAATTAAATTCTTTGTTTTTAATGAAATAAGCAACAAAAAAATTTTCCTAAGAATTTCAGTTTTATTAAATTTCAATTTATCATGGTTGTTAAAAAAAGGTTAATTTGGTTCTTTTTTTCACTATATAAGTACTTTTTGTTTCATTCATAACTGGACATTTAAGCTTATCATTTTTCTTGGAAATTATGTGGATTTTTCAAGCTAATTATTTTTCCTGGTTCTTATCTGAAATAACTTTTCCTAGATATGTTTCAGAATCACCTAGGTCAATTGGCAAAGATTCAAACTTTTAGTTTGACTTTTTTTTTTTATCATTAGCATTGAATTTTAGACATCAATTAATTTTGGCAAGTTATAGCTGAGCAATGGTGGTAACTTTGAAAAATATATTTTATAGTTTTTCTTCATTGACAAACTTACTAATTTTGAAAGAGCATTAAGAGTGTTTCTTTTTCCTGTGCAGTTGCAAAATATAAAGTTGAAAACACTTGATAACACTTTTACTCCCAAGAAGTTTCAAAGTAATTATACACTGATTTTGTATAACACTTTTAAATATTTTTTAAAGTAAAAATATTCCCACTTACCAATAACATACTCTTAGGTTCTGGAAGTTCACCACATTGAAATATTTTCACATATGCCTAATTAACAACGAAATTTTTTAGTCAATATTTTCAGAAACAATAAGAATGATAGAAATACAGATATTTATTTTTTACATAATAAGGCACATCATTCTTATGCTTAAAACTTCCTACAAAGCATAAGAAACTGCAAAAATCCTAGTAGACCAGGTTATATTTTAAACTTAACTTTTAAAATAAAAAAACAGTTAATTCCATATTAAACAAAGCCAGCAATAATATTTAGGAAGGCATCTAGAAATGAAAAATATCATATCCTTTGCTTATTTTCATTTTTTATATGCATCTATCATGTTTGGAGCTTAAAAATAACTAGATAAACGGAGATTTAAGCAGGAAATTTTTTTAAAGCCTATGTATTGTTTATCACTCTCACAATGATGCATAAAAAAGTCAGTTTTTAAAACAATTGTAATTTTTATACATTAATTGGGAAACATTAAACGAGCAAATTATAGAGCTCTTTTTTATTTGTTAAATGGTTATTGAACTCAAATGCAAAGTAACTACCGAAAAGTAAAATAAACACCGAAAAATTAAACAATTTATGGAATTATTTACTTAAAAAATTGATTAAAAAATAGTGTACTTAGAACAGAACTTTTACTGTTATTCTACAAGGCACAGAAAGAAACTTGCAAGATAATTTTTTATAACTTACATAGAAAAAATTTTACTGAAATTTTAAGATCATGGTATTGACAGATTCACAAAGAGAACTGATTCTCAACGTCACCCTTTCCAGGCATAGGGGAAAAAAAATTTTTCTTGCTACCCCCCAAAAAAAGAAAATATCCTTTTTTTTGGGGGGGGGGAGGACATTTTTTTGGTTTAAAAATGGTTTTATTTTTTTAAGTTCGACAATATGCCCAGAATTTTATGCTACATATATACATACCGTATATTCCGGCACATAACGCGCCCTGGGGTATAACGCGCACCCGTAATTTCTAAAAACTTTTTTTAAATTTTAAGATATACTCTTCGTATAATGCGCACTAAAATTTTGATTGTACATGTGCAATATCTCGTCTAGTATCTATAGAAAACCAGAAAGCCTTTTAGTGTGGGACATGTTTCGGTCCCACCTTATAGATAATACAAAAAAATTGTTGCAAGAATGTAACACCGATATGGCAGTTATTCCGGGCAGATTAACACCATTTCTTCAGCCATTGGACGTTTGCTTAAACAAACCATTTAAAGCCAATTTAAAAAAACAGTGGAACACTTGGATGTTGGAGGGCGAGAAAACCTTTACGAAAGGACATATGCGCCATGCAAGTTTGGAAGTGCGAATGAATATTAAAAGCATGGGGTGAAATTAAGCCTGAGATGGTTAGAAAACCATTAAAAAAATGCAGCATTTCAAATAATCTGAATGGATCAGAAGATGACTGTTTATTTATGGATGAGGGTAACACAGATGATGAAGATGAAACAGATTGTGATGACGTGCCTGAAGAAATAACGGAAGACGAATATAATGAACTATTTATGTAATAACGAAAATCAACAAAGTATATAGGTAAAGGTATGTTACTTCTTTAAAATAAAAGTATTTTTCTATACTTAAATTTTTTTAATCTATAATTTTTTATATTCGGCGTATACCGCACACCCGTACATTCCAATGTTATTTTTTGTATTAAAAGTGTGCGTTAAACGTCGGAATACACGGTAGTTTTTTTTTAAAAAAATCACGATTTTATATGTATTATTCAGTTGTAAAACCAATCATCTCCAGAATATAAAATTTTCTGTAAAAGCTGGTTTTCTGCAACACTTAGCAAAAACACTTTAGTTTATGAAGCATTATAATAGTGTGCTTTTAAATACAATATAAGGAGGCAGAGGCAAATGAAAGAAGTTAGTTATCAAATTTTTCATTTTAGATTAAGCAAGTTATACAACTCTTTTTGGAGTCCGCTGACTTTGTTGGTCTGCTGAAAATCAGTTCATCATAGCTGTCAACTGTTCCAATTAAATCATATTTGTTCCGATTTTTTAGCTTTCTCTTTAAAATACAATTTTAGTTCAAAATATTTCGATTTTTTGTATTTTAGTGCCTTTTCACGCCTTATACTGATTTTCTTTCAACCCTCCCCTACTCTAAAAACTCGAAACAGGGCATGTGATTTTTCTGGAAATATCGTAGAATTCTGCATATGTCAAGACCATTGGTTTGCCAACCTCTATGAATCAAAATCTTATAATTCAATGGAAGTTTGAAACTCTAGCTAAATCTCGTTAACAAGACGTTTACACACGACTCTTGAGCAATTTTTATTCTTTTGGTTTTCGATTTTTGCCATTCTGAATATTTGGAACTGCGCCAGAATCTACTAATGACACGATTCTTATTCGTGAGATTTTAATATCAAGTATTGATTTCAGTATTCACCAGATTTAAAAATTATGCATTGGGATTCGTATTCATCCAATATAAAAGTCAGATGTCGGGATTCTATTCACTACGTAACTCATTTTGGAGAATGTCTGTTTTATATCTGTTGAAAAACATTTCATCAGCCCTAAGTTATATTTCTTAATCTATTAAAAGTTTAAAAGCGTATGAATCATCTTTTATCATTTTAATAAAAATTGGTGATGGAAATTGATGATGAACTTATGTTTGTAAGACAAATAATATTAAAAAAAATGGAATAATTTATATAAAAATAATTTCCATTGAAATAGTAAAAATTAACAAAGAAATTCCTCATTAAAGAAAGAAAGAGAAAAGAAAATAAGGTGATCCACTGTGTGAATCGATCCTCAAGCATCTGGTAGTCAGACTTAATTAAAATTCATACAAAAGACATTTGCTTTCAACAAAATAGGAAATATAAAAATAATAATTTCGCATTAAAATATTACAAATTTTCAAACTACATGTACTTATGCATACGACAATTTTTAAAATAGTATCAGCAGCTTAAAAAGTAATTAATTCTAAGTTTCTGTACCTTAAAATATTCCAAAAGCTCTTTACAAGTAATTTTCTTCCCATTCACTTCCTTTAATATCAGATTTTCCCTAGAGAGCAAATGTGGAATCAAGAGTCTCAAACTTTCTTTGAAATTGTCTGCTATATCTAAAAAGAATAATAAAAATTCTGTCAGTCACCTTCAAAAGGAGATTAAACACTTCATTCTATTTACACAAAAAAACTTATATGTGAAGCATAAGTTAAACCTTATTCCCTGCTTTCAGCTGGCTTCCTTGTTGCAAGAAAAAACTATATTCTTTTTATGTTATTTAATGATAATGATAAAGATAATACAGGTTTAGCTCATCATACAACCTCGTGCACAGTGGGCAAAATAAAAAAAGGTATCACTTTGAAAAACTTTCAGTCTAATGATTGGATTTTCACGTACTAAGAATCAATCTCAATAGTTCCTGAAATTAGTTGGAAATATCTCTTATTTTCTAGGCAGTAGACATTTTTTCTGACCAAAAAGCAAAGATTTTTCTTCTTCTTTTTCATCTCCTTTGCAACAATTTTGCAACAGCAAATTTGAATAGATTTAAAAATTATTTATGATTTTCCAAACTTTTAGAATTTGAATACTTTTTATCTAATATTATTTGTGTTATTTATGATGTTTTTACTTAATTTGCATGATGATTTCATAAAAAAATCAAAATTACATAACTTATTATAATTTATAAACAAAATTTTAGAGATAATTATTATTACAGTTTTGATTGAATCTTCTGGGCAAGAAAATTTAAAGAAACAAAATAAAAAAAAGTGCCCAAAAGAATGTAGAGGGTATGGTAATTCTAATGCTATTACGATTTCTGTTTTTCCCCCTTAATTTACAAACCTGTTCTACGATCTAATCACTTTATATCTGATATGATATTATCCTTTTAAATCCCATAGTTTTGTGAGGAGAGTCATCCAAAGTTTGGACCCCTTAATGTTAATTTTGTTTTTTAAAATGATTCAAAAAATTCTATACCACATTTCAATTTTTTTTTAACCATTATTAAATAAAATAACGAAAATAATAAATATTTACTAAATGTTATTTTTTGCATAGAATTATCGTAGGATAAAAAAATTTTACAATTGTGTGCAAATTTTTTTAAATTCGATTAAAAAGTTCTTGAGATATAGCGAACTATCCAAATAGTAAAATTAAGGGGTTCAAGCTTTGGACGTTCTCCTGGCCAAACTAGTTTAACTATATTTTGGGGGTCAGAAATCCGAATCCATTGAAAAAAAAGGTATGTTTATTCAGAGAAAGTAAGTTTTGTGTCTGAATTTGTAACTTAAAACATTGCACTAATTAATTAGTATATTTGAGGTCACTTCCTTGAGAAATTAAGATTGAGTCCTAGAACGTCCGATTGTGAGATAAAAAGTTATTCAGAGTTCCTTATTTTTGCACCCTGTACTATTCTATTTGTGTAATATGCCAATCCTAAGGGTCAAATGGCGACTAACAGTGTAACTATCATCATCACTAATATGGATGTAAAGTGAGGTTGAGAAACTCTTCTTGTTAAATAGAAACTGCTATCTTGTGTAGTGACATTATGAGTGGCTATCTTCATTTATACAGTTCTTTTTTTTGTTATACAATTGAATCTAGTTGTTTTGTTATGTCTACCTTTTCTTTCTATTTTAATAGTAATGATTTTGCATCAGTTTCATTTTTTGTTTGCATAAAACCCCTTAAAGAGGTGTTAGAAAATTAATGAAAAGATATAAGGAAATTATAGAAGTATAACATTAGAAAAGAATAAAACTTCGTAAAGGAATTTTGTATGAATATGCTAAATAATTAAAATTTTAAACTAGTTACCTGAAAGTCTACCATCAAAATGAGGATTTGTTGCTACTTTAAGACCAGGATGAGGTAAAAGAAAACAAGAAGTATCAGCAAAGCAGGCACGAATGTGTTTTCGAAGCTGTTGTAGTTCCGGATGTTGCTTTTCAGAAATCTATAAAAAGAGCTTTAATTGAAACTAAAAAATGCAATAACAATAAAATCAGAGTCTGTACAATCCTGAAATTTATTAATATAGAAGTTATATTTCTAGAATCCTAGTCAAAGACTGAGTTGAGGAAAAAAATAAAAATCTAACAAATAACTGAGGAAGGCAAGACTAAAAACATCAAAACCTTATTGATTACCAGAGAAAATTTGAAGGTGATTTTAAGAAATGCATTTAAACTCTGCTATGTTTAATCTGGCAATGAAAAGTTTTAATATTTTCAGCCCCATTTTTTTAATACTTATTTGTTAAATTTTAATTAAATTTTTGTTTTTTCATCCTTAATTTGCAACACTGAATATTCCCTTTTGTTAATTCAGATTTTACAAATATTCTAAAAAATAAAAAAAAAGATAAGTGAAATGGAATACCTAAGATAATTTTGGCAACTGGAATTCTAGATTATTCCACATTCCCTGAACAAAAGTGGAATGCAGCAGATGAGACATATATACCATATATTTTAATTAGAAAACAAATAATTCAATAAGATTAAGATTACAGAAAAAAGGTGAATTAAATTTTTAAATGAGAAAAATCTGAATTATTTCTCAATGAAAATTCTGTTTGTCCTATAATTTGTAAGTGGAAAAAAGTTTAGATGCTTTGAGCACTCGAACATGGGGCTCACACTAAATATGTGAATGATGAAAACATAACAGACAGAGATATTTTTAACTCCTCTACAAGCATATTTCATGCATTGAAATTAGAATTATTAGTAAGGTGAGCTTTCATGCTTTGTATTTTAAATGAATATTGAAAAAAATATTATGGTGTATTCTTGAAACCTCCTTGAATTGTTTCCTTAGTTTCCCACTACATCCAAACTTTGCAATAGCAATAGAAATGCCTTTGTAAACAACTGAATGTAAAAGAGGGTTTTTAATCCTAGACAAGGTAAAAATAATTTTAAAAAATTGACAGACAAACAGTTGTAATAAACTTGAATATCAAACACCAGTTATTCTAAAATATTTGAACTCCAAATACAATAAATATTTTATTGGTATATGAATGTAATCAACACAATAAACTGTTTCCTTTTGCCCCATTGGGTAAAGTAAAATAAAACACCAATACAGCTCACATACAAAACATTTACATTTCACATACAAGCATGCCAACATCTGCACATAAATCATGAACCAATTTGCTACATTTACTGCACTTGATCAACCTTTCTACTGTATATACATTGTTACAGTACAAGCATATAATAATAGTTGAAATTCAATATAATGACCTTATAATAACAAATGACCTTATAATAAACAATAATGAACATAAAATGAGCTCTTTTATCATTAGTGTGATATATTTAATCATGATATATTTAACACCATATATATTTAATCATAAATAAAAATAATAATTTTGTTTATCACTTAAATAAAAATTCAAAAATTAGCAGAATAATTAATAGAAATTCTTTTTTTTTTTTCCTTTTAAGATAATATATATGCACACAAAAAAATACCAATAGAATCATCCAATGGGACTAACATTTTAGAAAAAGAGTGAATAATGAACATGAAATTTGTTACTTGCATCAATATTTTTGTTACAATACAGTATAGGACCCGAAATCCGGCACTCACAGGACCGACGAAATTGCGTATTTCGGAATTCGCAGAATTTCTGATCTCTTCCGAAAATTCCAATATTGCGCCCATATGTAATTCAATTATGCTGTTAATTTCAGAAAAACCAATAAATTTAGCTAAGTTCCAATTGCAGATTATGATGGGGTGAATTTAAAACTGTTCCATCTTAAGAAATTTCATTACCGTATTTTTCGGCGAAAACGCCGATTCGTCGCAAGCGCCGCACCTCGATAAAAATGAAATTTTTTTAAAAAAAGTTATAGTAAGCGCCGCAATGGTGCTAAGCCGCGCATATCAGCATCCTTTTAGAAGAGACCTTTAAATTACCATTTAGAGTATCTGTATAATAAAAAATTAAATTTTTTTATGCATTTCATAAAGTAAAGTTTTAATTTCTAAATTATAATAAAAAATTTCTTTTTCAGCAAAAAAAAGCAACAAAAAAAGTTTTCTCTTTCAGCAAAAAAAAGCAACAAAAAAAGTTTTCTCTTTCAGCAAAAAAAAAAGAAAAGAAAACAACAAAACTATATAAAATAAAGTTATTCTTACCAGTTGGCACCGCGCCAAAAAACAGAAGAACAGCAAAAAATATTTATATGTTCAGTAGCTGAATTAAGGCTGAACTGATTACAGAAATCCGTAAAACAATGTAATAAGAAAAATAAAAATAAAAATTTATTAAAAGAAAGATTTTAAAATTTATTAACGTTAAGAATTTGAGGAAAAACTAATACATAATA